CGGGCACACTAGATGTCCGCGAAAGTAACGATGTTGCCGCAATCATTACATTATCGGAACCATCTAATTGTTGAGCTTCCTGGGTTTGCAAACGTTAGTTCTTCAGATTCCAGTAATAACCGTTTGATTGTAACACCATCGTTAAAACCCGTGATGAATTGGTCGCGATCATCTTTATCCGTGAATTTGCATCCTTCAGCAGCTCTTGCAACCCGTAAGTAATTTTGTAGTAAAATTCAAAGCGTAGTATTAACGATGACTTCGGTTTAAAAAGCTTCATGATGTTTTCCTCGATGTCTACGTAGGTAACTGAGTCATCTTCTGAGTATGCAGGCAAGCATAAATCTTCGAGTGCAGAATAAAACTGTGGTGGCAAACATGTTAATATTATTGTTTTCCTTTTGGATTCGGGTACGTCCGTCGCAGTTATGTATGTTCGTAGTTGGCAGACAAACCGTTGATGGTTACCATTGAATACCGGTAGCATAATTGCCGAAATAGCTTGTTGGATCGTCGTTTTATCCAAAGGTTTTATCCAAAGGTTTTATCCAACTTTTTCTATCTCTAAATGTTGGATCGTCGCGTTCATTAGTTGAATAAAAAAAATGTATTATTTTATAGCTTTCTTCAACCTCACTAACAGCCTTTATTGCTCAAAGTAGAAGATGGCGAAATTAGGAAAAATAAAAATCCTTCAAGCTGTCACTTTTGTAGACCTCTTCATCTACAATATAAAAAAGAGAGTCTTATTTTATCGATAGAAGAAGAATCAGATCTAAAAAATCAAATAAATACCTTAAAGGCTTTTTTGCAAAGTTTTTAATATTGCAGGAAGAATTTTGACATTTACCGGTTTTTACAACCATGACATTCTGCGACAATCAATTAAAAAAATCGTGATTTTCATTTAAAACATTTAACGCATGCGCAATCTCAACATTCTATATTATTTTTAAAAAAAAGGTCTTCTTTATATATTTATTTATTTGATATTATATAAATTTATTTTTATTAATATTATATTAATTTATTTTAATTTAATGGAGTTTATTTTAAATTTGAATGGATGTCACGTTTGTTTTAAATGAATGCAAAACCATATTTTTTACATATTTTTTATACACATACTGTATTAGCAAAACAACCATGATGTTCAATTAAAACATGCATGATGATAATTAAAACAACCATGATTTCCTATTAAAATATTTAGCGCATGAGGATATTAGATTTTCATTAAAACATGCCGCAAAATTCCGTTTCCCAAAACATGCGAGATCTTGTTGTAAATCTAGTCGTTGAACAAGAAAAAACTCAATCTGAAGCTTTATCGTTAACAGGAGTTAATCAAAACACAATACAACCAATTTTAAGAAGGTACGATCGAACGAATTCAACACTTTCTGGTTCTGGAGGTGGCGCTCGCCGCGTTTTTTATAATGAAGAGATTAGAAGAAGAATTGAAGAGCTTATAAACGATAACACAACGACCACTATAATTGAAATTAAATATGCTTTAAATGTAAATGAATCAATGAAAACTGTATGGAGATGGGTGACCAATCTTGGATACACATATAAAATTACTCGACCAATTTGTAAAAGAAGAAACGACAATGATGTAAAAAATCTTCGTATTGAATATGTTAGGTAGTATACTTCAATCTCGCCTATTAATCGCTATCGAAATATTGTTTTTATTTATGAAAGTTCATTTAATTTAAACATTTTTTGCAGTCATTCATGGGCAAGAAGAGGAGTAACACCAAACTCGATCATTCACCATAGACAACGTAACGTTTCGATGATATTGGTCATCAATGGTTTGAATATTATTCACTGCGAAGCTGTCAGTGTGTCAGTCAACACAGTTTTGTTTCAAAAATATATTGATAAAGTTGTACGAGTTTTGGGGACAGAGGAAGAATTCACCCTGGTGATGGATAATGTCAGAATCCATTATAATGTTGAGATGAGGGCTCAGAACATTCAAACAAAATATTTGCCACCATATTCACCATTCTTGAATCCGTGTGAAGAGATTTTATTTTTATCTTAAGAATAACGTGCGAAGAAATACGGCCCCAGCTGGAAGAAATGAACTAATTTCAAGAATGCGTGAGGCATGCTTATCTATTCCTCATGTTAAATTATCAAACTATTACACACACTGCGAAAGCTTTTTCGAAGCGTGTCTTAGGTCAGATGACATACCTCGACAGTAATTGGAAAATAAACATATTTTAAATAAAATAAAATTTTAAACTTTTTTAAAAAATCGAATAAAAAAAATATAAAGAAAACCTTTTTTTTAAAATAATATAGTATGTTGAGTTTGCGCATGCGTTAAATGTTTTAATTGAAAATCACGATTGTTTTAATTGAAAATCACATTGTTTTAATTGATTGTCGCGGTGTTTTAAATGAATGTCATGATTGTTTTAAATGGATGTAAAAACCGGTAATATTAGCCATAGGATTGATCTTACAATGTTTAATAATAAAGTAGCTAACGCACTTACAAAGACAAAATCTACTCAATCCTGCAATGTGTGCAATGCTAAATCCAAGGAAATAAACAATATTGATTTATTAAAAGCAAAAACTGAAAATGACTTGGTTTTGGGGCTCGGAATTTCAGCTTTGCGTTGCTGGATAATATGCTTGGAATTTATTCTTCACTTGAGTTATAAAATTAAAATTAAAAAGTCGAAGCCAAAAACAATTGAGGAAAATTATCTGTAGACTTGAAAAAAAAAAAGAGATTCAGGTACTCTTCAGAGAACGGTTAAGCCTTTACGTTGATATGCCTAAAACAGGGTCTAGAAATACAAAATGCGTAAAGTCACCTTTAACACGCGTGAGCGCGCATTTTACGCGTCGAAGCTGCGTGTAAAAAAAAAATGTATTAACAAATTTGAAATCTTTGACTCAAAAATTATTATTTTAATATATAACATTATTTGTTAACGATTTATGTCAAGTTTTATTTAATTTTTGCCGTTTTTTGATTGTCCTGAGTCACTGTGCGGCGGGAGGCAAATATTTACGCCTTCAATTTGGCGGCCGCAGCCAGTTGAGAGACGGAAACCATTGGAGGCGGCCTCTAAATGATTCTGCCTCCCAAATGACGTCGGCCTCCAAAACATTTCGCCTCTAAAAAATAACTCTGGCTGCGACCGCCAATAGAAGGGCAGAGGCTACTGGAGGAGGAAGAAAGAACATTTTGATGCTAAAAATTGAATGGGAGGCCGCTGCTAACAGCTTCCGCCTCCCTAAAAAGTTGGCCTTTCAGCAGAAAGCTACTTTGCCGCCGGGCGCTATTATCAACTCTGATTCAAAATATATCTTTATGAGTTTAATAATTTTATTAGTAATCTTTAACTTAATTTTAATGTAAACTTTTATTTTCTACTAATGAGATTAGGTTTAAAAAATTGCTACTATAAATTATTAGACAGAAATTATTACTATAAAGTTTCTATTGCAAAAAGCTTGATCATTAAATTTTTTTTAGTTATCGAAGCAAACATAGTGAAACAAATATAGTGCACGAACATTTGTTCTCTAAATCCCCAGTTTATAAAAACGTTTTATAAAAGTTTATAATTTATTATATAGTTTCATAATATAAAAGTATAGTATAAGTAGCATAGAATAAAAGTATATAAACACATTATAATAGTTATAAAATATATAAAAAATAAGACCAGGTCTTTTATAACTATATCTTACATATAAGTTTCAAGACCTATATAGCTTTTATTACTTATATAATGTTAAAAAGTTATAACGTAATTTAATTTATAAAGGTTTTAAAACTTAAATAAGTTGAAACTATTAGATAAAATCTAAAAGTTTAACATACGATTACTTAGGCTAAATCTAAACGCTTTATACACATATAATAATCTTATATTAGACGTCCAAAATACGTTTGAATATAGGCATTTTATGGATGTTTGTTCAAAAAGTTAATCTGGATTCAATTCTAAACCGATGATTGACCAAATTTAAACATTTTGTCAAAACGTTGTTTAGACATTAATAGACGTTCGTGTATTTACTAGGTACAGTGATAAAATTTTTACTGCATTAAAAAGCTTGTCAGTGTTTTCGTTATTTAAACTAATAAATAACAAATAAAAAAAGATAAAAAAAATTTCACTATTTTAATATAGAATGGATAAGAATAGAAAACTTTTGCAGGGCCTACAACACCAAAGACCCACTAAACCCCACCCTCCTTCCCCCAATCACCCTTTTTTTCTAAAAGACCTTTTTTTTCCAGAAAATTCTAGATATAGAGGTCTTTTTTAGAAATTGACAATCTTCTTCAAATTAAACTGTTTGCTTTTTCGTTTAAAATCTCATTTTTAAATTAAATGCTAAAACATTTTGTTCTTATTCTTGAGCAATATTGCAGAAATCAAAAAGTGTGTACATTGCGGAATAATTTGGTAAAATATTTCTAATTATTAACTTAGGGAATTTCCGAACATAGATTGCCGTGTTAGAAGATATTTAAATTTATTGCACATTTTTTTTATTTTTGTGGGCCTATACTATAAACAAGATTTCAACTTTATCATTTTCATCAAAATGATTCTATGTTTATATGATAATATATTTTAAAACCTTGTTACGTTAAAACACTGTAACTTAGTAACTGCTGTTAAGACTTAATGGCAATTGACATCCGTATTAACTAATGTTTTCTTGAAAATGAATGCGAGTTTAAAAATAGGGAAAAAAATTTAAACATTTATATAAGATTATTGCGCTTCATACGATAAATATTAATTATTAAATAGATTATTAGAAGGATTTGCAAGACTGTGATTGGCTAAAATAGAAGACTGTGTTTTATTATTGACAAAATCGTTTCTCAGAACTAGGGTTTCCAAGAAGTATGAATGATTAACGTGAATTCTCAAAAGTTTTATGTTAAGATGTAAAAACGGGTATTTTTTTTATTTCATTCTGCTAATAAATATAAACTTTTTTAAGTTGCTAATTTTGCTTCATTTTGCTATTCTTTATTTAACATACAAAGAAATTCTACATAAACATTTTCTATTAACTTATTAAAGGTAAAAAAATATTTTAAGCTTTTGTTTTGTAATTTTACTGACAAACCTCCCAGTGGGCACGGTACGTTTTTTAAAACGTTTTTTGGACGTTTTAATTAAATTTAATCCCAATAACAATGTTTTAAAAACATACGAACCCACTGGGCTGATAAACTTTACTTTATATACAGTTATTTTTGTTTTCGAACTGTTTAATTTGGTCCCATGAAATCGTCTAACTGATTATTAATAAAAATCTTCTGGTAAGTCGGGCTTCGAATAACGCGATAATTAGTACAAAACCATATTAAGTAAAAAATTTAAATATTCTAGTACACCTGACATTGCTGACAAGATTTTATTATGAATAAACCTTAAAATACCTTTCAGCACAATTTGCACAATTGACAAATAAGAAACTTTACACTCCAAATTAAGTTCATGTAAATTTAGAACTTAATTTATAATAATATATTATTTACTTATATATAATATGAAAAAGTTTCTAAATTTATTTATTATATATAAATATAATTTTCAACACAATCGGTTTAAATTATAACACATATGATACCACAACATTGTAATGATTGTTATCAATACCTTGATTTTTTATGAAATGGTGACTTATGCCACTTTCAAATTAAACGGCTCATATATACATATACAAAGCCGGCGCCTTAGTGGGTTGTGGGGGTGTGACAACCCCCCCCCCCTCCCTCATCAATGATTTTTAGTCGGCAAGTTTGACCCTTTTTGACAAGTTAGTCGACAAATGTCGACCCTTTCGATATAGGTTAGTCGGTAATTTAGACAGTTAGTCGGCAAATGTCGTCATGGCAGTCGGCAAATTTTCGAAAACGTGGACCTTTTTTTTTTTTTAGTCGGCAAAAGTTGTAATGGCGCCAAAACCCCACGTGACACCGACTCGCGCTGGCCCTATATATATATATATATATATATATATATATATATATATATATATATATATATATATATATATATATATATATATATATATATATATATATATATATATATATATATATATATATATATATATATATATATATATATATATATATATATATATATATATATTTTAAGTTTTATTCTCAACATTCTAGAGTTTTCTTTTGTAGCTTTCTAGTTGTAATAAAATCGCATTTGCACCTGATTCTTAATCTGTTGTTCCTTTTCGGATTAGTTTTTTAACACAAAACTACCTTTGTGTATCTGTGTGATTGTAACAATTATTAATAATATATATATATAATTATATACGGAAAAATAATAAATATATAATGATATACGGAAAAACTATTGTTATATGTAAACACATAAACACGTATTATAAACTTTTTAGTCCTTGTGTAATAAGATGTATACATTTTTTTTTACTATTATATAAACTTCACGGATATAAATTATTTATGAGGATTTATCGAGTTATAACCTATATTTATCGTTTATAACCTATAAACCTTAAAATCGCTTCCACTGTTAATTGCTTATATTGGTAACGCAAAAACAGCTTAATGATGCTCTTGAAAACGCTGACAAAATTGCCAAAATGAGAGCTGAAACAAGCTCTTCATGTAATCAAAACACTTACCGCCAGAATTGACAAACTTACTAATAAAATTGATCTGAAGGATATTGAAATAAAGTCTTTAAAAGATAGCAAAAGTTGTGAAAAACCTTTGTTATCTAAATTAGTTGAACAAGTCGGCAAACCCGGTATATTAGCAAACGTAGCTGTAGTGAGCGCCCTCAATAAGCATAACAAGGACGTGACTAACAGATAAAAGAGAATTACTGTGTTTGGTCTACCCGAATCTGTTAAAACTCAACCAAGCGAGATAACCAAAGATAACACCGCGGAATTCAAGAAGGTTATGATATCTTTAAGTAAATCAGTCAATGTAATTAGAATTAAACGTTTCAAAAAAAAAAAAAAAAGAATTCTGATTCTAGTAAACCCGCTCCTCTTATGATTGAAGTTGACTCAGTATCAGAAATGACGTTCTAGCGTCGGCTAAACAACTGGCATCGGGTACTTTTAAATATATTTATACGCACAGACCGCTCAGCAACAGAGCAAAACAAATTCATTAAATTAAACTTAGAAAAAAAAGCAGCTAATTCTGACCTTGACAAGTTTGGAAAACTTGATAAATTCTTTAGATTTGTCATCCGCAGCGATAAATTGCGATACATTGATGTCTCACAGGAAGTTGAAATCAATGGTAGTAAAAAGCATCCTTTCATCAAATGGAAAGATGCACAAGCAGCCAGAATAGCTAAAGCACAATGAATCAAATCGTTTAACTGCGAATATTTATTTAAATCCATTAAATACAAAAATTAAATCTGCTAAAACTAACCCTAAAAAGAAACTTTTAAAATGTTTTTATACTAACAAAACTTCTCTTAATCCGACTAAAATGAACGAGTTATCTGCACTCTGTGATATAAACATGCCTGATTTAATCTTAATTCTTATTTAATCTGAGACATGGTTTACCAAAATAGCTGCCACTCAATTAAATTAAAACTATTAACTAGTGAAAAAAAATAGAATAAGTCATGGTGGAGGTGTTGCTATCTACATTAAGCGTGATCTAGTCGCGCATGAAGTATCTGATCGTCATCTAAGAAATACTTTAAACAACAGCAACTCCGAGCAAATATGGTACAAAATTAAAATCGGTAACGAAATGATTCTTATTGGCTGTGTCTATAGACCACCTTTATCTCATATAGATGATATAAATAAAACAATTATTTCAGCTAAGCAAGCTGTTGGTAGAAAAGCGTATAGTTGTATGTTATTAGCAAGTGATTTCAACTTTCCGGATATTAAATGGCATAATGACGAAAGAATCGAATTACTAAGCAATCAAAATAGTGCTGCAAGTGTTTTTCTTGTAACTTTGGCTAATCATAATCTAGAACAATTAGTTGATTTCTCAACATTCGAAGCATCTAATGGAAATGCAAAAAATATTTAGGATTTAATTATTACAGACTCTTCAACTAGAGTAATCAATTTATCTAGCTCTATGTCGTTAGGTGATTTGTCACAAGGTCATCGCATATTTAGTTGGGATTATATCGTCCTTTCTAAAAATAGGGCAACTTTTTCAAACAAAAAATATGATTTTAATAAGGGTGACTATAAAAACTTATGGAAAAAAAGATTATGGAAACTAACTGGCAGCAATTATTTGAAAATAAAAACACTAAAGAATGCTATGAACTTTTCTGCAATAAATATGATAAACTCAGCAAGCAATACATCCCGTTAAAAAAAAGTCCATACTACTCGTAATGCATCGTGGATGATTAAGGAAGTATTAGCTATGATAAAGAAAAAACAACAACTGGGCAAATACGACAAACTGGCAATCAACAACCCTTATTTGTGAATATAAGAAACTAAGAAGCCAAGTTCAGAAAGCATGTATACATCGTGTTCGAGTATTTGAAGCCCAACTGGCATCAGATAAAAATAATCCAAAAATAATGTATGCTTATGCTAAAGCGCAACAGAATGTTCATGTATCTATTGGAGCTATATTTAATGCAAAAGGTAAAACGTTAACAGAGGAAATACATATCGCAAACAGACTTAACGAACACTTCAAATCAGTTTTTGTTGATGATAACAAAAATGATCAGTTACCGGTTTTTGGACCGATGTTTTAAGCGGAGTTCCACAAGGGTCTGTACTTGGTCCAACATTATTCATCATCTACATAAAGGACTTAACAGATAATTTAAAATCAGCTCATAAAATCTATGCTGATGACACTAAACTGTTGCAAGAAATAAGACTTGAGTTTCACGATGCTGATTGTCTGATTCTTCAAAACTTAAACATTGTCTCAGAGTGGTCAAAAGAATGGCTTACGGAATTAAATGTTGCAAAGTGTAAAGTAATGTACCTTGGTCATAGAAATATAAATCATGAATATGTAATGAATGATGGCAATACATCTCTTATAATAGCGGCAACGGATATTGAAAGAGACCTGGCTATCTTTATATCTAACGATCTAAAATGGAATCAACACATACAGGTTGCGACACGTAGAGCAAATATGATACTTGGCCTACTAAAAAAAACGTTTAGATCAAGAGATATGAAGCTTTGGGGTAAACTATATACTATATATGTTAGGCCGCACCTGGAATTCGCTATTTCGGTATAGTGTCCTTACTTAAAGGGCGACATCAAAGATATTGAAAAAATTCAGTTCAAAGCAACAAAAATTTCTCAAATTCTAAATTTGATTTAAGTTTACCTTATGCTGAAAGGTGTCAGCGTCTCAATTTTACTTCTTTGGAAATTCGCAGGCGACGCGGCGACTTGATCCAACAGTTTAAACTTGAAAATGGTTTTAAAATTATTAATTGGCATAATCCACCTCTTTGCAGATCACCATCCAACGTACTAACGCGTGATTTTACTTGCAACATTACTCGGCATAATTTCTTCACAAATCGTATTGTGAATGATTGGAATTATTTATTCGTTATCATGCAAAAAGGCTCATTAAAAGTCAATTAACGCATTCAAAAGTGGAATTAAAAAAAAAATTTAAAAAAATTAAAAAATTAAAAAAAAAAATAAAAAAATAAAAAAAAATCTGTTTATTTGATTGTTTTTTATTTATTTATTTGCCATGTAATCTATAAAGATTTATTTAAATATATTACTACTATTACTATTATATTTATACTTCATATTTGAACATTTACACATTTTTGTATCATGTTTTTATGATTTAGGTACGTGTGTAAAAATTTTAAACCATTTGTTCATTTAAGTATTATATATGGTTCGAAAGAGCTTTGAATTTATATTAAAATGGTGAAAATTTTATGAAAAACGAACAATTACAAAAAAAGTTATGCTTATTTAAGTAACATTATTTTTATGAAGGATTGCTTAGGAAAAATGCAACCATCGTAAAAAAACTCGCGTTCGGCTAACGGTAGCTTTGTTGTAGAACGTTATTGTTAATTTGCGCATGATTTTGTGTAACGGTGTTTTGTGTTACTTGCTGAATATCTTCTAACTTTTCCTGTAAAACCAGTATGTCATTTTGAAGTACAAGAATTGCAGAATTTTTGTCAGCAAGTTGTTGGGATAACATTGTCTTTTGATTAAAAAACTTGGTTTCGGTGAATGTTAACTGTTGTTTCAAATAAAAAATTTGATTTTGAAGTTTTTTTAACTGTATATTTAAAAAATTTTCTTTTAATTTTTTTTTAAGTTGATGAATTATCTTTTCCTTACGAGCAATAACTTGATTTAGATATTTTAATCTGTATGGTCTAGCCTTTGCCTTTTCTCTTAAACCTTTAAGATCTTCTTTATGTTTTCTCTTTTTAATTGCGATTTCGTTTTCCAAAATGGTTAATCTCTTTCTCATAATCTTTTTCCTGGGACTAACCTGGTCAGCTCTCAACCTGGATAATGATTCTTGAGAAGAGTCACTATTTGATAGAGACGAAACAGTGATTTACTGAGAAAAAAATGAAGAACACGTAGCAATGTGATTAGAGGTTGTGATTAACTGTGATGTTTGAGTCACAGCAGATGTTGTTGGTTGGTATTCAAAGAGCATGTTGCAGATGTCAATAAATTGTTTTGAATTTCGTGAAAAAGCTTTTACAAAGACTTTTGATTTTCTAACTAGTTGCAGAATCTGATTGGGAAAAATGTTGATGTTAAAATACTTACTGATTAGTTCTACAGTTACTTGGTATGAATCATTGTTAGTTGCCAATATATGCAGTACATGTCCATTTCTACAGCCCATATTTAAATGAGCTGGTATTGGAAAATTACAAACTAAATAAGATTTAGCTTTACCATAAAATAGATTTGTTTTCTTTTTAGGTCCCATGATGCACTAAATTAAATTCAACGATCATAACACTACTTTAATTGTAATTTAATCATTATTAATATTTAATTACTATTTAATTGGGTCAGCAATCAATCAAAATTAACTAACTAATAAATTGCCTTTAGTCAATAAAAAATTATAGATTTATATAATTTTTATATATCATAAATAATGCTGGTTGGTGGTTATATGGTAAATTATGGGTACAGAAAAAAATTGAGAAAATGCTGTTTTTGTTTGTTATCATTATTTCGCATTTTATTCTGAATCACCATAAAAAAGTGTCGTAATTTTTATTTCAGCATTTTAAATTAGATTTAACAGAATTTAGCCTTGAAACTAATTTTGGTGTGTGAAATCATCAATAGTGTTAGTAATATTATTACTAACAACTTTTTTTTTTTCAATAGCCATTTATTACTAATAAAAGGCTATTGAAAAAAAAATTGTATACCTTTTTAATGAAAGCTATCTATATATCTCATTATTATGAATAAACAATCTAATATACCAAATGCTCACCATCAAATTACGGCCCTCCTTCCCCGCCTAAACGGAAGTGGAAATACATACCTCCACTGTACAGAAAAATAGGGTGTCTGCGCATGAATATTTTTTAATGAAATTTGGCAGGCACATAGAAAATAGATTTATACTGCTTACTGGAAAATTTTAAAAGTGTAGCAACATGCCTTCAATATTAATGTACCTCCAGAACAGAAACGAAATTTGAAAATCTAATAAAAATCACTAGTAAATTTAAAAAAACAACGGAATTTATATCAAGAAGTTACAGTAACATTAACAGAAACAGTTTAATAAAGTGTAACAGTAACAGTAATTGTAAAAAAGGTGGAAAATGTACCTCCACTAGGTGGCAAAATAGGGTGTCTGCGCATGAATATTTTTTAATGAAATTTGGCAGGAACATAGAAAATAGATTTACACAGCTGACTGGAAAATTTTAAATGTGTAGCAACATGCCTTCAATATCAATGCACTTCCAGAACACGAAAAAAATTTTAAAGAGCAACAAAATCACTGAAAAACTTAATACTTTTGGAAAAAAAAAATAATTTATACAACATAAAACATTCTACTTTTCAAAAAAGTCTAAGCTGATATAAAATTCTAAAAAAAAAGACTAATAAATACATCCTTACCACACCGACTTCGAGCACGCTGTGAAAAAAACGGTCACAGTTTTTTACTTATAAATCGGTGCCGTAAATAGCCAGATACGCACGTACCTATATGATTTAATGTTATATTCAAAAATACTCATTATTATTTAAAATTTATAGCAACAAAATTTAGATAAATATATGTATATATATATATATATATATATATATATATATATATATATATATATATATATATATACATGTATATATATATATATATATATATATATATATATATATATATATATATATATATATATATATATATATATATATATATATATATATATATATATATATATATATATATATATATGTATATATTAAAAATAGTACACAAACCAGTAAATTTTTTTTTATATTCATGTTAATCTTTTTTTCTGTTATCTTTTTGTACATTTTTATATGAATATATAAAAATGTACAAAAAGATAACAGAAAAAAAGATTAACATAAATTTTGAAAAAAAACATGATATATTTGTTTGCTTAGTAATATGATACATAAAATTCATAATAACTTTATATATAAATACATCAGTTATCAATATCATTATGATCTCATTATGATGAAGGGAATCTCAAATTATAAAGGCTCCATACTTTAACTATGTCATAATAAAAATATGAAGCCTTCGTAATTTGATCCCCTTAATCATAATGAGATCATAATGATATTTATATATATATATATATATATATATATATATATATATATATATATATATATATATATATATATATATATATATATATATATATATATATATATATATATATATATATATATATATATATATATATATATATATATATATATATATATATATATATATATATATATATATATATAGTAGCCTATGACTTAATAATTTTTTCAATAATTGCAACATTTGCTTCAAGGCACTTACTCATTTGTACCAAGCACTTGTTCAAAACAATTTGAATAACATATGCATAAATAAACATTTATCAAAGATTATATGAGTTATGGTCTACATACTAATTTTAATTCAAGAATGAATTCATGGCAACAAAATTCTCTAATAAAAAAATTGCGCTAAAATAAAATACAACAGCATTTAAAAATGGCCAAAAACAATTTTATCATCAAAACCTGTAACATACTACACGCATTTTAAAATCAGTTGTATTCCAATGTTGGCCCAAAGTCGGGCCATTAGCGCGTAAATTAAAAAATTGCCCAACGCTTCCGAAGTTGTTCCTGCGTTGGCCAACGTAATGCTTGCAAGCTGGGATATGATTAAAACTCGTCTTTCACTTAAATTCTAGTCTTAAAAAGTTGACTTCGCCGGTCCTTACGCTGAGCTACATTCATACAACTTTTTTTTTTTTTTTTACCGTTACTAAATTTATTTAATCTCGACAAATTTAACGCAATACTAGGTTGGTTGAAAAGTTCGCGGAGCGGAAATGAAAAAACAATTTTATGATTCAAAAAATGACTTTATTCTTCAGTATATTCTCTCTTAAGAGCAATACACTTTTTCCAACGATTCTCCAATTCATGTATCCCATCTCTGAAGTGCGATTCCGGAAGGCCTTCAAAATACCCATTTACGGCTGCAATGACTTCTTCATGTGATGAGAAACGCTTTCCACGTAGAAATTTTTTGAGATGTGGAAAGAGGTGGAAGTCGGACGGAGCCAGATCTGGTGAATAGGGTGGATGTTCCAAGCGTTCGTACTTTAATTCGATCAATTTCGCTTTTGCAACATCGCTGATATGAGCAGGTGCGTTGTCCTGGTGATAAATGATTTTTTTATGCAGCAAACCAGGTCTTTTCTCACGAATTTTTTTATCCAACTGGTCCAAAAGATTTTTATAATATTTACCTGTTATCGTTTTACCGGTTTGAAGGTAATCTATTAATAAAATTCCTTTCGCATCCCAAAAAACTGATACCATAACCTTCTTTGACGATTTTGACGCCTTCACTTGCTTCGGAGCTGAACAACCGGGTTCTGTCCACTCTGCAGTTTGTTGTCGCAGCTTCGGATCATAGTGGTAAACCCAAGTCTCATCCATGGTTACGAATCGACGCACAAAATCTGTTTTATTCTTTTGAAAACGGGCCAAATGTTCTTGAGAAAGTTTTACTCGAGTGCGTTTTTTTATCCAGAGTTAGCGAATGCGGCACCCATCTTGCCAACAGCTTTCTCAGACGTAATTCATCGTGCAAGATGTGTAATACCCGTTCATCTGAGATGCCCACAGCCTCAGCAATTTCACGTTTGGTCAATCGTCTATCATCCATAACCATGTCATGCACAGCATTAATCGTTTCTTCAGTAGTAGCACTTTTTGGACGTCCAGAGCGAGGGTCATCTTCAAGGCTTGAACGCCCACGTTGAAACTCCGCAGCCCATTTGCATACTGTTGTTTTTGAAGGAGCATCATCACCCAACACATTTACCATTTCATTATGAATTTCCATGGGCTTTAAACCTTTTTTCACAAAGAATTTTATTACAGCACGATGTTCAATATTTTCCATTTTAAAAAATACTATGACACGTCTAATTTCAATAGCTTGTAAACAAAGACTGAAATGACATATCGACTTGAAATTTTTTATGCGTTCATACGAAGAATGAATACGTTTAATACAGTTATAAATTTGTTTCTACTACTGCAACATAGGTGCCGCTCCGCGAACTTTTCAACCAACCTAGTAATGTCTTTGTGTACTAGATTGACCTACTTTTGAAAAATATTATGGACCCTTTTTTTTCAAAACATTATGAAACCTGTAAATGTCCATGGGTTTTAGAGGCATATTTTTTTGTTCGAAATTTGTTTAAAATTTTCATTGTTTGCCCCACCCTACTTTGCATACATATTTTTTTATTTTAAAGACGCTTATTTAAATCTTAAAGAAATAAAATATATATATACAAATAAAATATATAAAATATATCATATTATATTAAATCTTAAAGAAATAAAAAATATATAAAAATACAGCTATAAAAAAAAGTACAATAATTATTCAAAGGTTGCAAATTTTAGAAGTTCAAACGGTGCATTTCCTCTCCTTTTGTGAATTTAAAATGTTTTAATTACGTTTTTTTAACAAGTTTCATAAGCTATTATTATGCTTTTAATTTAAGAATTTTTCATAATTTTTTCATAAAAATAGTTCATTTTTTATCAGGTTCTAACGTCTAACTACGTCAGTAGCGTTAAACTGTAATAGCAGATCAAATTTCCAGTATCACCCAGATGGAAGTTACCAGAGAAAATTTCCAAACTTTGTATCAAGATAAACTCAAACAAATTGATAAACTGTTAAATTCTTCTAAAAGAAAAAATATAGTTGCGTTTGTTGGATTAACTGGTTCTGGTAAGAGTACTCTAATTAATTATCTATGCAGAAAAGAACTAAAAGTTGACGAAGATGATAATATTGTATTAAAAAATCCGAGTGATCAAAGTGCAATGCAAATCGGAACAACCAGTGTTTCAGAAACATCGTTGCCAAAATTTTGTGAATTTGAAAACGTTTTATTCTACGATTTACCAGGATTCCGCGATACAAGAGGAGTGCTTGAAAATTTATTGAATTCAGCTATAATTAAGAATATTATTGAAAATGCTGACACAACTATTATTGTTTTTGTAGTTAGTGAAGATGAAATCATTGCAGGAAGAGGTAAACTTTTTAAAAAGCTTCTTTCTTGTTTAGAAAAACTTATTCCCAACGTTGCATTTCAAGAAAGAAGTGCATTAGTAATAACTAAAAGTTCGCCAGGAAAAAGTGTTGAAGACTTGGTGAAAAAGCTAAATCAAAAAGTTGATGGAGATGATATAAAGAAGTGGCATTCCATTGGATATTTTGCAAAAATGCAGATGGTTCATGAAAAAAATATTGAAGAAGCAGAACGACAACAAATACTTAAAGCGATTTTCAATGTCGCACAAAAACCTATTAGTACTGTTCATATTTGCTCTACATTCGATAGCAGATTGTCAAGTTTACTCATAAACATTTGTAGCGACGAGATGGAAAAATATTTTAAGGACTTTCTTTTAAATATACTGGATGTAAATTTGATCAGTTCCTTTTCTATTTCAGTATTAGAAGATAAAATTAATAAACTTGAAAAATCTGTTGAGGAATGTCAGTTTGAAGGTTCAACACTTATTGTGCTTTTAAAAACAATTTCACAAAAAATTTTGGAATCTGCTTTAGGTAAAATGAGAGATAAAATGAGAGTCCAAGTTGACAACTTAATTTTGCAATGTACCCTTGAAATTGAAAATAAGAAAAATGAGAATATTCGGAACAATGTTCATAAAATAGGATTTGCAGTAGCTGGTATAGCCTTGTCTTTTTTATTCAAAAAGATGGTTAGCCTTTGAAAATATATATGAGCCAGTTAGAATCTATACTGTGGATTATTTAATAAAGAAAAAAGCTTCAGAATTATACCGAACATTTTTTTGGTATATTTTTTGTCTATAAAGTGTATATTTAGTATTTAGTTGTTATTTAAATTCACTCAATTAAAAAATTTTGAAAACACGTTAGCAGTTTTATAATAAATTTCTAAGTTCTTTTATAAGAACATATTATTTATTTAAAAATATTTTGTATCGCATCACTCTTATTTATTTTGCATCATTCAAATGTCAAATAGTCAAACATGCAAACCTTACAAATAAGAATATTTGATCTTATATTTCATTAAATCTATTTACAAAAACTATTACATAATTTTAATTATTTTATATTAACAATAATTAGTAGATTTGTTAACACAGTTCATGCATGTTCTGCAAAATACACGATTTATGAATTTTAATAAAAAGGGTATGTTTAATTTTTTTAGAACAACTAAAAAAAAATTTAAAAACAATGTTGTTGTTTGTTTTTTTTTCAGTCCTTTCGTATCTCTAAAAAAAATGTTAATTTTTTTTTTAATTATTCAAGTTTAAGTTTCACAATTTTGCTTCATAGTTGAGGTATCATTTTTTGGTATAATTTAATGTTGATGCTATACGAAGGTAAAACATTAACTAAAAAAATTTATCATCAGTCGCAACTCAAAAATTTATCAAAGGACAAAAAAAAAAATCAATTTTTTTAATTTTAAAATCTAATGAAAAATGAAACATTGATATCATTCTAAATAGAGCAAAAATAATATATATATATATATATATATATATATATATATATATATATATATATATATATATATATATATATATATATATATATATATATATATATATATATATATATATATATATATATATTATATATATATATATATATATATATATATATATAAATTAAGTTAGTCTATTTCAGAACCAAATAAATTATCAAAAATTTATTATATCCGCAATATTTTATGCTTACCTACTGCTAATTCTATGCTTACCTACTGCTAATTCCATAATACCTAAATTAACCCTTTCGCGACTGAGCTAAAAACAGCTACATGACTGCGCGTAAAATAAAGAACTAGGATCATGATCAATTGAAAGAGTATAAAATAAAAACTACTAGTCAGAGTTTTAAAAACAAAACCTTGTTTTTTTTTGTCTAAGAATTGACTTTCAGAATATCCAAAAACTTTAAAAAAATTTTGTTTATCTTAGTTACGTGATCAAAATATATTATGTTAAAATTAACAAAAATATATAGTTTCTTTTTCGAAAAAAATAAAAAAGAAATAGATAAACATATCATTTTTGATATTAAATTAATGAAGTCTTTATAGTGCTGATCAAACAAAAAAAATATCCACCACTATCATTGAAAAAAATATAAATGATTTCATTTATATTAATATAATATAATCTGTTCTTTGTCATTTTTTAAAATTGATTTTTGAGCGATCTATAAATGCAATTAAGAAACGGTTTGAAGCAATAACTAAAGAAATTATTCACAAATCAAAGATAGTATTAAAGTTTTTTCCAATTGCTATAGATGTTTTTGCAATAAATATAAATTGTTTATACACCGCCATGCGGGTCACTCGTCATTTAGATACAAATTTTATGAACCGCCATACGGGTCACGCGTCACGCAAGGGTTAAGCCGACGGCTGTGTAGCTTCCGTAAGCATATTTTGAAACCCTATACAGGTTCAGAATAGGCGGAAATATGAGCCGTCTGATTTGCTGATTTTCAAAGAGAGGCAAATGCGCTTTTGTTGAAAAATATAATTAAAATCAAAACAAGCAAATAATTTTTTAAATATTTAACTAAGTTCTCTTCAGAGAATTTAAAAAGCATCAAAATTTATTTGTACAAGATAATTTTGCCTTGTAAAAATTTCAAAGTTTCAATAAAGATTATCTTGGCGATCAGCATTTTGTCTGTTGTTAATTCGAAGAAATTGAAAAAAAAGTATGTATCGGGTGGACACGGAAAAATCCGGTCAACTTTAAATTGAGATTTCTCCAAAACCACAAATGCTTTTTATTTAATTTTTTAATTAAACTTTACTTCCTTATCTTAAATGGTGTTGATAAACTTTTGTTTACAAATTAATGATTTGCAAAATGTTTTGGAAACAAATTGAGGTGCGTAAAAAAATTGGGATTTTTTTTTGCAAAAATCCATACACTTCAATTGCTTGATTGTTAAACGCAAAAATGTCCCAAAATCTACAGTCATAGATATTATAAACAAGTTTAAGACTACTCAAAGCTTTGAAAAAAAACTTGGAAGTGGAAGAAAAAACTTTCCATAAATCCAAAAAGGTAAAGTCGATTTTACGTCCAATAGCAAGAAATCCAAACAAGTCACAGCGAGATCAAGCAAGAAAATTCAAGACTTCTCGTTCTTATATCAAAAAAGTACTTAAAAATGCTAGAATTAAAGCATTTCATAAAAAAGATACACCTAAGAGAAGCTTAATGTGTGAAATTAAAGGATTTCGACTCGCAAAGAAGTTGGTTAAAATAATGGCGGATAAAAATATGTGCATAATTGAAAACGACGAAACGTATTGCAAGGCGGATTTTTCACAACTTCCTGGTCAACAGTTTTACTATGAAAACAAAGATAAACCTGTCGATGATCAATTTAAATATATTCGACGAGAAAAATTTGCATCCAAGTTCCTTGTGTTGCAAGCAATTTGTAGCTGTGGTATGCAGTCCTTTTATTTTGTCACTCAAAAGACCTTGACTGCCAATCATTACATCAACGAATGCCTTCAAAAAATGCTGAGTCAGCAATATCTTAATTCGATGTTGCCACCAATATAGTGAAAAAAAAAAAAATCTGTGAAATGATGGCATCAACCCGCTATAAAGTTCGATTTCTTGCCAAACAACCCATTAAGCCCCTTAAAATTAAGTTAAAACTTTAACTGATGTAAGCACATTTAATAATAAAAAAATTGAAATAAAAAGCTATATGGTTTTAGAGAAATCTCAATTTAAAGTTGACCGGATTTTTCTGTGTCCACCCGATATTAGTGTAAATTCGAAAAGATCCATAAATGCGTTTCTCGTAAAATATAATTTCTTTGGCTTTAAAGCATGCTTGAATACAAAGTTTATATGTAGTCGATATGCAGTTGTATAAGACTACTGGTGGAGTACTTTTGCATACAAAGTTTATATGCAGTTTTACCAGACTACTGATGAAGAACTTTATTTATAAATTGATTTATATGTTAATTATAAAGAGTTGAACTTTAATATTTTTTTAAAGAAGTAAATTTATTCTGATTGCAAAACTAGTTTATGTTCCCTGTCATTTTACGAGCTCTAAGGAGATTTTGTATTCATGTTTTGTTTCAACTTAAGTTTTGAGTAGACTGATATGTTGTAATTTTGTAAATTTAAGACTGGAGCAGAGGTTGCTCCAAACTCGTTATACCAACTTGTTAATTATAAAGAGTTAAACATTTAAGTTTTTGTGAAAAGAAAATTTTTACAGCTGTTTTATAGAACTAGCTTACACGTTCCGTGTAATTCTATGAATTTTGAAGATGTTACTTTTTAACCTAAATTTTAAAGCTGATTAGGAGCTCATCAAAATTTTTCATTACTTAACTCTAATTTACATTAGATACTTCTAACAGAAGTATCTAATGTAAAATAAATTGATACAATAATAAACATAAAATTTATCAAAATTTGTTGCTTAATTTAATATTATTTACCATCAGTTGCTATTAGCAGGTAAACATTTTTGTACCAATTATAAAATGCAATAATTTTTTGTTCTGGTTAATAGCCATATATCAACAAACATGCGTTTTATATGTATTGATTAGTGAAATTGTTATAAACTTTAACATGAATTTGTATGTTTTCAATTTTTCTTGTTTCTGCCTTTTACTTTTAGTTCCTCATAAAGGTATGATAAGTTACTCAGCCAACATGCCCATATGGACCCCGCATGGTTTTTAACCTGGGGATATGGGCATGAGTTACAAGACACGGGCTTCAGATAGGTTCCATTTGGGCCAGCCCATTTAACTAATTTGATGGAATATTCCGTTTGTATAGATTACGTAAAAATCCGTCAAGTGTGTTTATTGAAAAAAAAGCTCATAATAATCTAAAATGATATAATATATCTGAATAATATTGATTACTGCAACAATTTTATTGCACTTGCAATAGCTAAATATTAACTGCGTTATAAAACTTTACTTGGTTATTAAACATATTTTTGTAATTTTATAATAACTTTTAATTTGTTATATCAATCTCTAATTTCAACTTTATAATTATTTTTTTTTAATTTTAATGAAAAATGTTTAAACTTGTTTAAATTAAATAAGTAAACTTTAATGTTTAGTATTTAAAACTGTAATAAAAAAAATCTATTAAGTTACTATATTATGGATTACTCCTCAAATACAAAGCGTCGAAAAGGGAAAAATACTGTTGATTCAATATTTACAAAGATAGCAACAAAAAAGTTCCAAAATGAAGTATATGTTAAAAAAGCATTACCGTTACCAACTTCTGAATTATCTCTGCCTAATGCTTCAGAAATAAGTGATAAAAATGAATCAAATGTCATTGACAACAATTCTGATAATGAGTTTAAATTTTCATCAGATGAAGAATCTGAAAAAGCCTCTTACACAGAAGAAAATTCTTTTAGTGAAATAAGTGATAGCAAATTTGACATCAAAGACAGATTATGTAATTGGTGCTCTTCCTACAACATTTCTCATGCAGTAATGTCAGATCTTTTGCAGATACTCAGATTTGCAATTGGGTCATTCAATGTCAAATCATCCTAAAATATCAAAAAATATCACCCCAAAAAGCAAAAGCTAATTTTGTTATATTTTATAGGGTTTATGAAAATTAAGAAAATCTGAAATTTGGAACCTCCAACCCCTTACGGTTTTTGAGATATTCAGGTTTCAATTTTCATACTTATGCTGACTCAGCATTTTTTGCAAAAAGCATATTTGTCATTAAATAGCAATATTTTATGGACGAAATGAGGTATCATTCTGAAATTTGGTACATAGACAATCTTCCATATGGCGGATACAAATATCAATTGAAAATTTTTTTAGACCACCTAAGTACATGCAAATTAAATAATAATGGCATTAATTTTGGGGTATTTTGACAGTCAAAATGGTGATGTCACCTTGATAAATTTTTTTAAAGCATTACTAAAACTTACAATATAGGTATCAAACATCACTATTAATTAAAAATATATTCTTGCATTTTTAGATTTTTATAAATACAGCTTTTTAAATAAAGTTTATATAAATGCTGAGTCAGCATAAAATAAGATATTGCTGACTATAAAAAAATGCTGAGTCAGCAATATCTTAATTCGATGTTGTAAAAAGTTATTTTTAAATTCATTTTGAGGGCTTCTCTCTCTGCCCTCCCAGAAAAAAAAATTAATATTTTTTCTAATTTTGTTATGCCAACAAAATTAAGATTGTTTTGTTAAAATTTTTCCATCAAGCTTTTGGAGGCCGGCTAGGTTTGGTTGGGGGTGGGGGGGGCGTTGCAGTTAGGCATATTACCAAATCCCTCCACTTTTTTTTTTTCTTAAAATATATAAAGATTATGCAGCTTGCAAGTATGACAGCTTTTGGTAGATTGAAATTATAAACAAAAAAGATGAAGGAGAAGGAGATTATAAAATTTATCCATCCATATAGTCCCAGTCCTACTTTTTCTTGGCCTGCACGAGAAGATATGTGTTGGGTCCCATCAAATCATGTTTTATGTACCTTTTTTTTTTTTTTTTTTTTTTTTAGTATATATATATTTGCTGTTTATATAATAAGAAAATATAACTACAAAGAAACATTTACATACAAAAAAAAGCTGATTTATAAAAACAGGCAGGAGCCAAAGAAGATACGGATGACTAAAGTAACCACAATCTTTTCATAGAGCCCCTATGTGGGCTTTACAAGTTTTAAATAGAATAAGATCGTTAAAAATACAATTGTACAATTCCAATATAATTAAAAAAAAATTTTCATAAATATTTACATTTAAAGAAAGAAAGGAAATAGTATTAATATAATTTTAACAATAGTCATTTAAAAAATACTGACATTGTTTTAAATATAAAAAAATAAGACACAATTATTCTTTTCAAACTAAGTATTATGGAATTCGATGTTTATTTAGAAAAATTGAAAAATTATTTATAACGTTTAAAAATTTTGTTTTTTTATGAGAAACTTAAAGGAGTTTAATGATTTTACCGTATTTAAATGTTTGGTTTTTTGAAATGTGTTCCATAGTTTCGGTCAACGGTATGCTATTCCGTATTCAGATTACTTGCTCCTAATTCAAGGCAATTTATAAGTATTCCATTGCTTTATTCTAAGAGAGTAATTATTGTTAACACTTTTTGTAAATTTCTTATTAAAGGTTTTCGGAATCAGGTTGTTATTAAATTTATACATAAAAATTAAGTGTTGGTAAATATTAATTTCTCATATACTCATTATTTTCATGTCTTTAATTAGTGGTTTTGCATGTTTATACTTTTTTTTCTTATATATTAATCTGCATGCATGTTTTTGTAGAAAAAATATTTTTTTAAGTTTTGTTGGTTGAGTACTAGCCCATGTAATATTAGAATAGTAAATAAAACAATGTATTAGGCCAAAATATACTTGTTTCAGACTTTCTGATGTTACATATTATATAATATGATCTTATATATTATGTATGATGTTATATATTGTTATATATGATATTATATAATGATATATGATGTTATATAATATGATGTTATATATTATATAAGTTGCTTAATGTCACTGTTTGATAAGAAAAGATTTGTAATGTCAGCAAACATTATCGCGTTAAGTTTTGCTGAAGCATTATGCAAATCATTCGATTCGACACTTACAACAAATGGTTGTGTATACAAAATTTCAGAAATTGAGTTGGTAAAAATTATTGAACTAAATAACCAAGATTTTTAGAAAAAAATTTCTATAATTATTATTATACTTGTATAATAATAATTTTAGAACTTTAGAAACCATTCCAACTTGTTAATTTTTGTTCTTCAAATATCAATAATATTGTCTTTAACAGGTAGGTTGCTAACTTGATCAAGGAGGTTGCACTCTTGTGGAGAATACAGGCCGTAATAGTGTTGTAATAACAATAAACTCAAATACATATGAACCGAAGTAAATATAACTCCAGAAAATTTGTAAGTAATAATTTGTTTTATTGAAATTTGTTAGAATTACTTTTTTTATGAGTTACTATTCAAATCTAAATTATTTTGTTTGCAGAAACTGTAACAAGGAATGCACAACAATGATTGAATGTGAGGCTTGGCTTTGCGTCACAAGATTGATATAATAAACGAACCAAATGTGCTTAAGTCTTTAAAAACACAAGGCTTCACCGAGAAGTACCTTTGGACATTTGGAATGATGAATAATATGAAATATATAATATATTATATAATACAAATATTATATAATACAAAAATATAATATAATATATAATACAAAGCATTGTTTTGTTTTGACTACTTTTTTTTCGTATAATGTTTATTGAACAGTATGCGGAATATAAAAATATTATTTAAACTTAATATACTATCTGAACCCTGTAAATACACTTTATAGTGTAATTCCAGATTTTCCAGATTAATCGACGACCAAACTATTTAATAATAAACAAAAATAATAAATGTCGATACAAAAATAAGTAAGCTAACAAATTTATTTTAAGTATAGGTAAAACACATTGTTCAGTTTATTTAGCTAAGTTCTGGTACCCTACTGTGTTTTAAACCCATATAAAAGGAAATAATATTCATAATACAAAATGTAGTTTTTTATTTATTTTATAAAGTAGCCCATATGGCCCCATATGGCGCCCGTGGCCAACTTTTAGGTTTGCCCCATATGGGTAGCCCATGTGGGGCCTATCAAATAGCCCATACTGGCCCCATCTAGGGCCCGGATGATTCTATTGGCTGGGTAAGAGTTATTCTTATTATTTAATTAAGAGTTATTCTTTTTGGTAATCAAATCACTATATCAAAACACACTTGCGAACATCACAAGGTCATAGACTTTTGATTATTACTAAAACACTAAAGATTAAAATAATCCAAATCAGCTTATATAAAGTAAGTGATTTTTAAAACAATATTGCTATTTTTAAAACAATATTGCTATTTTTAAAACAATATTGCTATTTTTAAAACAATAATCCTATTTTTAAAACAATATTCCTATTAGAAATGTTGATTTGGAAATCAATACTAAAGATAGATTTTTATATATCAACATAGCAATATGATGTCCCACTGCATTTTATTGCACTGCATTACAGTGTTTATTTTTTAATTTATAGAATAATGTTGTTTTGGGTACTTCAAAAAATTTAGAAGTCTCAACAATCAACATAATTTCTGATTTAATTTTTTGCTAATTGGCTCTAGAAGAATAGTATTTAGTTAATTTTATCGGATTCAGTTTAATATTTTCTTGTGCTAGGATGAGTTCTCAAACATGTTCTTGACATTTTTGAATGCTAAAAATATAAAGATGATTGCTGTGATTAAACTAGTTTGATATTAGCATATTGGCTAAAATTATAAAAAAAACCATAAACCTTAAAAATTAAAATATCAAGTTAGCAATAGTTTTTTAAGTAAAAAGATGTCTATTATTTATTACATATTATTGCAATGTTACCCAGACAGTAAGAAAAGCATTTTTGGATAAATTTAATATTCAAAGTTACCCTGATTTTGGTTATATTTTAGCTGAGTGGAAATATATGTTCCTTTTGTAGAAAAAAAACAACAAAATAAAACATGTAAGATCATATTATCTTGAGTTACTCCACAAATAATTCAATAAAATTCAAAAAATCTGATATTCACAAGATAATACATAATATTCACAAGATAATAAAAAACCTCTTTAAAAAAAGTAATTTATCAAATTCTTTTTGGTTGAAGAACAGGCAAAGAAATTACCAAAAGGAAAACATTTACAGCTTTAATTCAATATTATCCGCAAATTCAATGTTACCCAGAATGACTGTATGAAAAAGATTATTTTACCATTCTGCACCGCGCGCTATAAACATAATTAGTTCAGTTCTTTTTTGATAAAAAAATAACATCTAAAATATTTTTTCCTAATCAGTTTAAATTTTTAATGAAAAAATAATTACATCATTGTTCTTAGTGGCGTATAAAGGTGAAGAAAGTTGGGGAAAGGGAGGGGGGGGGGAAAGAAATGCGAAAATTAGGGCCAGAATTTGAACAAAAAAATATAGAAATTTTCCGAAAGTTTTGAGACAAAGGGTTATCGCCCCCCTCGTATACCCTACGCAAGTATATATATATATATATATATATATATATATATATATATATATATATATATATATATATATATATATATATATATATATATATATATATATATATATATATATATATATATATATATATATATATATATATATATATATATGTATATATATATATATATATATATATATATATATATATATATATATACGTACCTTTGAGCATTTAATATTTAGTTAATAAATTTATTTTATATTAAAATTAAAAACGAAATTTTCAAATATGTAAATTTATTCTTATAAACAATTATTTATATTTTATATATTAATTTTACTAAAAAATTAATATATAAAATATTTAGTATTTTTTACAATAAAATTATTTACAATTACAAATAATAGGTTCTAAAAATTATTTTGAAAAAATAACTGCTGATTTTTTTGCATTTAAAAATTGCAAAAAAAAAAAAACAAAAAAAAAAAGAAGATAAGTAAGAAGCAAATAACGACATTGCCATTGTTCATTAAAAAATCATGAAACCTGTATTCTGTATGAATCTGTATGAATCCTGTATAAAATGTTTTCATCTAATCAGTTTAGTGTTTATAATTTTTTGTTTCTTGATTCATAAAATTTCTCACGAATTCTAGTTTTATGATTTATCCGAACATTTTTAAATTTCATCAGAGTTGTTACTTCTTTTCAAGGATTTTTTTAATATAAACGAATATGAAACCGTTTATAATGAATAAACGGTTTCTTTTGAACGCATTTATAATTATGGTTAAATAGTATTGTTTTTAATACTTGCTAATATAAATCAAATCTAATTTTTGTTAATCTTTTTCTTTGTTATTATCAAGAGATATACATCGTACGTATCTTGCTATCATATTGGAAATCTCTTTTCCCTATAAAAACAATCTTTTTTAAAATCCAATTTTAACGGTTTTAAAAAAATAGGTGTTAGAAAAGATGTCCGTTTAAAAAAATCAGCATAGCATAACTAACAGCAAAAACTTACCCTAGGAGTCTCCAACCGTGTAACTCTTTGAACCATTAAATTTCCTGTTTTCAAATCAACAAACAAGCGACCAGAATCTGTTCGAAGATGACGCGTTGAAATAATTTCAGAATATGAAAACGAGAGCAAAGTGTCCTTTAAATATATATATATATACATATATATATATATATATATAATACACTTTAAAAATTTAGTTTTACACCCTCTCTCCCCCCTTTTTTCATCCCCATTCTAAAATTTCTAAAAAACAGAGAACTTTAGAAACAGTTTTAATAATTTTTAATTACTATAATAATTTAATAAAAATTTATACTGTGTATTTAATTTTAGACAAAACCCTCCAAATCAAAAAAAAAAAGCCTAATGAAACTACCAAATAAGTTAATCACCAAAAAAGTTTTAAGTTAGAAATTTTAAGGGCTGAGTCCTAGATTTAGATTAAATTGAACTTCTAAAAACAAAAATACCTAATACCCAATTGCAATATAACAAATAAATTAAAAAAATGATAATACAATTTCAAATAAAAAAGTTTTTAAAAAAAATCACCCTTGTATATCTGGATAAAATGTGAACACCATTTTTGTTGATAGCAAGTATACCATCGCCATCAACAGCTGGATGTTCGCAGTTCTAAAAAATATATTATTAGTTAACGTCTCTTTGTTGGAAATATTTGCGTGTGAGTTAGCGTGCGTTTGTCTGTATATATATATATATATATATATATATATATATATATATATATATATATATATATATATATATATATATATATATATATATATATATATATATATATATATATATGTATATATATATGTATATATATATATATATACATATATATATATATATATATATACATATATATATATATATATATATATATATATATATATATATATATATATATATATATATATATATATATATATATATATATATATATATATATATATATATATATATATATATATATATATACAGTTCGCTATGGAGTCTATATATATTTATATCGCATTTTCTTTTTATTTAAAAATAACGAAATTAAAAAACAAACTTATCAAAATAAAGTAAAAAAATTTTCTTGTACCTGAATGTAAAAAAAAGAAGAACCAAAATATACCCATGCTGAAATTAGCTCTGTAATGCAAAAAAATAATATTTAATATCAATAATGGTTTTAGTCACATGTCACTAAAAGATGCCTTAATATTAAAAACTTACCCAAGTACTTAGTTCTTGCATTCGAAACAGTGAAATGTTTAATCAACCTGAAGTGATCATCTACAATGTGTAACCATTGCATTGAAGTAAGAAGGTTCGAAATCAGAGGAGGAATCAGAGACAAGATATCTTCTCTTTTGTATATATAAAAAGAAACAATTAAAAAAAAATTTGGTTTTCAAAATACTTATATTACATCATAATTAGTGGCAAAACTTCAAATTTTGGCCCCCCCCCCCCCCCCGCAAATATTTTTCAGGCCCCACCGCAAAGAGGAAAAAATAATTTTCATCTAAATATATTTATTGAAAAAATTGTTGCTCAACAGAAATCAAATAAATATTGGCCAAAAATTAAAAATATGGGCCCCCTTCAGCTTTGGACCCCTTCCTTTGCATTGCAGGGTTTTGCGGTACGGTAGTTCCACCACTGTTCATAATTTATGTCATATAACTTAGCAAAATTATTTATATAAATTATTATGAGTTTACATAAAATTTTTAACAGATAGAATCAGATGCTCGCTGTAGGTCATAGACAATAGAAGTCAAAAAAAATCGAAAAATAAAAATCAATAAAAATATGAACAGAGCAAACTTAAACTTATATTAAAACAAAAACATTGTTAAGATAATCAAAAGCCAATATGTATATGTTTTATTATAGTCTCGATTTTTTACTAAATAAGATATCAGCAGTATATTCGATTCATTTTGCATTCAATGCTAATAGAACTTACATGAAAGGCTTGAAGGACAAGTAATAAGTTGGAGTAATATTTATATAAATTTTACTAACATATAAATCACTATTAAATAAGTCATATATATGATATATAAGTTTCCAGATTTTTTATTTTCCAGATCTTTAAAATACCATGAAAAGTATCTGATTGTAAAATAATTTATTAAAAAATTTGATGAGCAGGTTTATTTTATCTGAAGACTGGTCACAAATATTTTTATACTAATACAAGTATTAGCATAAAGACAAATGAATCATTAAAGACATTCAGAAGATAAGTCAACGGGAGTTCAATCACCTAATGTAAAGAGATTCCTCAAATGATACAGAACTAGAACTTAGCAGACGTTGACGTGATAAAATAGATTGAAGTACTTGGTTACCATTTCATATATCAATAATGCTTTTAAAATATGGGTTTTAATAAATAAAATGATGACTTGAATTAATAGCCAAAGTAATAACAAAAACAAGATCTTTTTGAGGTTTTCTGCTAATAGCCTGTTTCTTTCATATTTCAAGCTGTTGAAAATAATTTTTTTGCATCATTAGATGTTGGTGGAGGTGACCTTGTGATTTACTTGGTGAGTTACCTGGTGTAACTGGTGGAGTTACCAGAGTGATTTATCTGGTGAGTTACCTCTTGGCAATATAAACAAGGGATAGCTTAGTTTTACCATTTGAAATATTTTCACTCAGAAGTTAGTTAGATATAATCATTCAGCACACCTTTGGTCAGAACTTAAAATTTAGTTAGAAATTAGACCTGGTAACTCCACCAGTTACACCTTATAACTCACCAAGTAAATCACAAGGCCACCTCCACCAACGTCTAATAATGCAAAAAAATTATTTTCAACAGCTTGAAATATGAAAGAAACAGGCTATTAGCAGAAAACCTCAAAAGAATCTTGTTTTTCATTGTGTTAGAAAAGCCTGTAATATAAAAATCTTTGAAAAGTAATTCATTCAGAGATGATAGCAAAAGTCCAGTTGAGATCAGATTTCTTATTTTGCCACATTACATGCTTCAACAAATCATAAAAAACAATGCTTGAACCTTGGGTCATGTAAGGTTGTAATAAAGTAACACTTAGTTTGTTCCATTTTCTTAAAACTATCCATTACTATTTTTATTGTTTCATTCTAATCATGTCATTATATTTGGTTAAAGTTTCATTATATTTATATTACTTCATTATATTTTTCACAATGAGAATGCAAAAACTGAATCAAGAAACAATTACAAAAAAGAATTTAATGGTTTCTTAAAATATTTGCATTATTGTGACCACCTTTTTACAAATATTCAAGTATTCCAAAATACAAAATTCTATTAGAAAATTTTTTTTTTTAGAAATTGCCAGAGTGCTAAATTGCTATAGTAAAGTAAGGTAAGCCTAAAATGAAATGAAGTGTAAACAAATAATCTGCATTGGTTTGGTAGCAATAGATTGATTTAAAGTATATAATAAATTTAAAATATAGTAATAAAAATATAAACAAAACAAAAATGAAACAACTTACTCAGTAGGGCTGATATGTTTGTTACTGATGCGATGCTGAAGAGCAGCTAGCAAAGCTATCTCATTTTGTGTCTAGATTAAATTAATAATAAAAATTATGTTTTAAACTTAGTTAACTTATTAGACTTATAATATTATATTTTTAGTACTTATATAGAATGTATTTACAAAAATTTCTAATTAACTAATGGTTTAAACTAAATTGTTAAAATTACCAAATTTTAATACCAATATTTTAAAAATACCAAAAAGTTTTTTATAATTAATTTGCTCTAATTACATTTATATATATATATATATATATATATATATATATATATATATATATATATATATATATATATATATATATATATATATATATATATATATATATATATATATATATATATATATATATATATATATACAGGGGTGCGCAGGTTATCGCAGAAAAAAATGAAAACAAAAATTTCGCGGCAAAAAATATGATATACAGTGAAAAACATTTTTGGTGGGGAAATGCAACACAGTTCAACAAGTTAATCCTTAAAAAATGCCGTTTTTCACTAATTTAGTTGTAAAAAATGGTACAACTTGACAGCACGCAAAATGAAAATGCAAGAAAACTTGTTTTTGATCTATGGAAACGTGGTGTGAAAAAAGTTGAAATTTGCAAAGCCATGAAGGGACAGCTTCATAATTCCAACGTCTACAGACTCTTAAAAGACTTAAAAACTGGAAAAAATTACAAAAGAAAAAAAACAGGCCCAAATCGTTATGTGAGAACTAAAGAACTTCGAAATTCGATCGACTGCAAAGTACGACAAAACCCAAACAGGTCAATTTCATCCTTAGCTAGAGAAGCGGGTGTGTCTCGAAGGACTATGCAACGTGTTGTCCACAATGATCTGGGTATGAAGAGCCTTGTCAAGTCAAAAAGACAACTTCTGAGTGAGGCAACTAGAGCCAAAAGACGCAAAAGATCAAAAGAGTTACTAAATTGGTTCAAAGACCACAAAGATGTCCCTATCGTTTACAGTGATGAAAAAATTTTCACAGTTGAACCAGAACCCAACAGATACAATGACAGAGTTCTTGGTAAGTCCAGAAGAACAGTTCCTTTGGAACTGAGGACTATTCCAAAGAGACAGCACCCTGTGGGCGTCATGGTTTGGGCAGGTGTGTGCTCTGATGGGTCAAAAACTCCCCTTGTTTTTGTTCCTGAAGGTGTAAAAGTCAACCAGGTGACCTATGTCGACTTCATCAAAGCTAACCTCATTCCTTGGGCCAAAAAGAAGTTTGGGGACAATCCATGGGCCTTTATGCAGAATAGTGCACCAGCACACAGTGCAAAGAAAACTGTCAGCTTCTTGAAAGAAAATGTTCCGCACCTTTGGACCCCAGATATGTGGCCCCCTTCAAGCCCAGACATTAATCCTATGGATTTTGCTATATGGAGTGTCATGGAGACCAAGAAGGCAGCCAAAACATATCCAAATTTGGCAGCCCTCCAAAACGAATTGAAGAAGATCTGGAAGAATCTTAGTCCGGACATGGTGGGACGATGCTGTGAGTCAGTTCCAGAACGTTTGAAGAGTGTCATTGATGCCAAAGGAGGCTACTTTGAAATTCATTAGTGTTTTTGAGTAAAAATATATGTGATTTGGTATTGTGAAAAGTTTTACTTTGAAAATAAAAGCCATTTTTGAGATATAAATATTTTTATTTTTCTGCGATAACCTGCGCACCCCTGTATATATATATATATATATATATATATATATATATATATATATATATATATATATATATATATATATATATATATACATATATGTATGCTACATCTCATATTGACTGGAATGTGCAGAAATGGCGAACTGTCCTGTTCAGTGATGAATCGAAGTTTAACATCATTGGGAGCGATGACATTTGCCGTGTACATCGACCGGCCAGAAAAGCCTCAATTTACGTTACTGCCATAAGACCGTATAGCATGGTGGAGACAATGTAATGGTCTTAGGGTGTTTTTCTGCTAACGGTCTAGGTCCATTACATTGAATCAATGGAATAATGGACTGTTTCATGTATAAAAATATCCTGAAAGATGTTACCTCATGCTGAACGGAATATGCCAATAAAAAGGGTTATTCAGCAAGACAACGATCCAAAACACACTGCAAAAGTAGTCAAGCAGTGGTTTCAAGACAAACATCTATTAGTGATGGATTAGCCGCCTCAATCTCCGGATCTCAACCTTATCAAGAATTTGTGAGAGAAGGCCTGGGCAGCGATTCCACAAAGTTTCATTGATCATCATCAAATCTATGCCTCGAAGATGCAAGGCTGTGATCGACAACAAAGGATTCGCCACAAAATATTGATAGCGAATTACAGCTTGGTCAATATTTTGTGGAGTTGCACTTGTTTTGTCCAGAAAGAAATCAACTTTTTTTAATACTTTTGATTAATTTATTAATTTGCCTCATAAGCAACATTTGCGTTGCTTATGAGGAGTGCAAAATATTTTTTTTTTTTATTCAGAAACATACTTGTAAAATTTTTCAATTTTGATAATCTCTTTTTTTTCTCTTGTATTTATTTACCTCATTTAAGTCAAGAGGACCAAAACAGTTGAGTACTTATTTTTCTAATAGGAAAAATTTTACTACTAAAAATGTTGTTAAAACCTTGAAACAAATAATTGTTGGTGATGCTGCACTAATTGTTTATGATAAGCTTTAATTCTAACTCTCAATTGATACCTTGATCTATATAATTAAAATTTCACATAATTAAGTTTAGTGTTTTAGACATCACTAAAATTAGGAAACCGCCTTTATGTTTGTCATTACATGTTGCTTAATTGCAGTCTATTTTAAAGTCATTCGCCTGTTAAAATTATAGATATAAATAATATAAAAAATAAGTATAGAAATCATAGGCATTGAACAGACTTACTATGAACTGTATTATGAGTCCAAAGAGCAAGCGATTATACTTTTTATGTAATTAAATGATTAAATTTTAATTGATTAATTATGTTAATTATGCAATCAGTTAATTAATTACATTAAATAATTAACTGCTAATTAAATCTATTGAATAAGGTAATTTATAAATTTTGAATTACTTTTTTTTTATATTTTCACTATAGTTAAGCCTATCAATGATATCAAACCTTAGACCTATGAGACCTGCATCAGATTTCTCTTAAAACTGTTGTAAAATCAGTCATTTATTTTTATAGAAAAAATAAATACAACAGCTGTTGCATTTAATATGTTCTCGCAACTATGTGAAATACATTTTTGAATTTGATAACAGCCATTAAAAGCTACATATCCGACACCTTATTTTAGTAGGGGTGTTTCAGACTCAGCAAATGAGAAATCAGTGCAGAAATCTGTTTTATTACTAATGTTACCATTTAGCTTACCATTAAGTCGAATTATATTAGTCACTGATAAAGCTAAAGGTCTACACACAAATTTGTGCGACAGGCCCCCAACACATTTCACAACAAATTAACCTATGATGTGACTTGGCATTAAAACAAATTGACCTTATAGAGATTACACAAATGACAGTGAACACTTTTTGAAGAAAATAATTTATACACCATATTAAACAGAAAACTATAGCAAATAAGGTCATACTAAGTATACTAATTTATATTTTTTAAGTAAACTAAACTTTTGAGCAATTATTATTTATCAATTCTGTTCTGAGAATTGTCAATTGTTTCTTTAATAAAGACAGCAGTGCCATCATTATTTTATCAAAATGTATTAAAAATAGTTTTGTTTCAAGTAGAATTTAAACTATTTCATGGAAAATGTTTCGATTCGTTTTTTTAAATTTGTAACTCATTCAGAATGTGTGAAAGAAGTTCATTTAATAATATAGTAATGTGAAATTTATAAAATAATAATATGAAATTTATAAAATAATACAAAATTTTACGCTCTATTTTGTACTTGTCAGTTTTTAGAACAATATACTGTCTGAATAGAACATTAATATTTTAACATGAAAAATAACATGATTTTGCTTAAATAGTTTTTTTAGTATTATTTTTAAAAAATTTTTAGTTGATATTTATAACTATTATCTATCAAAACAAAAATTGACTTTTCTTTTAAATTTCTTACTTTTATAAGAAATTGCTTGAAATTTTAAAAATTAACTTTATAGAGTATATGCATTAGCAAACCATTGAACATTTTTAAATTATTCAAAATATATCTCTTTAAAACTAAGTCTTGTTGTTAATACATTTAAAAGTTAAAGAAATACCACAAATGGAGGTACCAAATATTTAGTGCTTCAAAATTAAACACAAAATAAAATTTGAAACTTACTTGTTGATCTCTTATATGACTTGTTCTATTGCCTTTAAAATGGATGATATTGCCATTATACACATCAGGCACAATCTGTTTTGGTAAAAAAACAAAATAAACTATTATCTCTAAAGTTAACTCTAAATGAGAGAAGCTCTGAAAAAACTATTGCAGCGACATATTAAATCGGGATTTAAAATTTTTTAATTAGTCCATTGAAATAAAAATAAAAACTTATTTATGACTAAAACATTTTACTAAGTATTTATTTGGTAAGTAAACATATTACTATAAATAAATTATGCTTATCATTCCACTCCCATACTTCATGAAAATGCTAATAAAAAAAACTTCATGAAAATATAAAAATTTACTTGATTATAGATCACTTCAGTAAACAAGTTGTTTGCAAACCGCATTGTATGATACCAAATTACTTTCCTAAAAGCAACTGTAAATGCTAGATTTTCCTTTTCAATCTGAGCGAAAGTGTCAAATACATAATCTGTGTCTTGCATAGGAACCAGCAATTTTTCTGAAATAAAGGGTTTTCTTAAATATTTTGTATTTCAATTTAATTATATATATATATATATATATATATATATATATATATATATATATATATATATATATATATATATATATATATATATATATATATATATATACATATATATATATATATATATTATATATATATATATATATATATATATATATATATATATATATATATATAAAATTAAATTGAAATACAAAATATTTCAATTTAATTTTAACGAAAATAAAGCACAAAAATAAAAATAAATGATATTTAAGATATCATTTTTTCTGCTTTATTTTAATAGTTATTTATTTTAAAATATTGTTTATTTATTTTGTTTTAAATATTATTTAATTATTTGATAAGTATTTTATGTATTATTAAAAACTTTGGCATATAAAATTTGCTGAATGGTCACACACAAGCAGTAAATGCCTGAGGGAAGAAATGAAGTACATTGAAATAAAAGAGAATTATTTATTAGACAAAGCATATTTTGACAGTTGTCAAGACAAAAATAAAGATTAATAGAGATAAATATTATTTAATTATTTGATAAATAATTATGTATTGATGCAGTTCTTAACTGTAAGTAGTGTGGCCCAAATGTTTATTGAATGTTCATATGTACCTGACAGTTTTGTTTGACATATACATTTATTTTTAGTATAAAAATCAATACGCAACTTATTATACGCATTTTTGTTGAGAAGAATAATCAACACAAAAGTCAGCTTTTTGAATTTTTTTACTTAAAAAATGCAATTTTTTTTTAGTATATATTTATCAATTTAACTTTTTTATTTTTATGAGACCATAGAGGTAGGCCATATTAATTAGATAAAAAAAATGCTAGCTAGATGCAAATATTTATCTTTTTTTTTATAGTAAATAAGTTGAATAAACTAATTGGTGTATGTTTTCTTAAAAGTATGGTTTATAAAAATATTTAAAAAGTTTTCTTTTTCTTTTTCAAATTAAGTCTTAACTTAATTTATATATACAATATGTTATAATATTAATGAATTTTTTAATAGATTTTTTGGGTTAATGTGTTCGAAAGATCTGCCTAAGGAAAACTAATACCAGACTCTAATATACTGATACTAATAATAGATACTGTAATTAGTTCCAAAAAAAAAAAAAAAATTAATGAAGAAAATCTGTCTGTAAATAAACAAATAAATTCAAAAAGAAGTGATAGCACCTTAAGTTTATTGCTAATTTTAAATAATCAAGTTTAACCCTTGTGTAGCAAAAGTGCAAGTGATGCTTCATGGACCTAATCAACCTTGTGATGCTTCATGGACCTAATCAACCTTTGTGCAGCAAAAGCAAAAGTTTTGCTGCACAAAGCTGCAATACTTCATTTGGCTGCAATGCTTCATCAAAAAATTAAACTTTTACTAGTAAAAGTAATACTTTTTTAAAAGATTTCAATTTAACATTTAAATTTAACAGCAAAAAAGATTTTATGGCTTTGAAAAAAGCTGATGATGATTTAAGTTTTTTTAAAGTAGATGATTTATGCTTAGATGACAATATTATGGATCTAATTAAATATGTAATGTCAACCAATATGGCATCCCAAGAGCTGGGTATCATGTATCTAAAAAGGAAATTTAGGGGGTCAAAAATTAATTTACCATTTGATAAGTTTTTTTCCTACAATTCTATTTCGAAGGTAGTGTAAAAGAGAATAAAATACAATAACAAATTGCCAGATTACTTTTACAGATATCAGTTAAAAACTAATAGTTCTGGGTTTTGAACAAATGAAAAGCCTACATAATGCTGAAAATATTATATTGGTTTCTGAACAAATATCAAATCAATACTTGTTTGAGAATGACCAAGAACCAAAAGATTCACCCCAAAAAAATTTATCCTGAATTAAAGTAATTGCTTACTGATGAAATAAATTCAAGACAAAATGAATTAAGCAAACTATTTAACAATATTGATGCTGAGATGATGATGCAATTGATGATGCAATTGATGATGCTGAGATGATGATGAGATGATGATGAGATGATGATGGAATTGATGATGCTAACAATTGTGGATTTAGTAATCACAAATTAATTAGATTTTGAACAATAAAAGTACCTCAATTGGCATGCAAAAATCAGAGGTTTATATGTAATACTCTGAGATAGTGCAAACAATTGAAAACATTTTGTAATTCCTTTGTGAATTTGCTAAACATGCTCATTAGACAATTAAAATTGCCTGAATATTTTCATAAAAAAAAAATAAAAATAAAAAGATTAGGAAAAATAAAACTAAAGCTTTTTAATGTATTTTTGTACAGTAAAATGTTCAGTTACTTAAGCATAGTAAATAAAATTCTATTTATCAATGCTTTATTTATCAAAAGACACACACACACACACACACACAAATGTTTCTAAACTTTATCTCTGCTATCAAAGAATGATAGCTGAAGACACAGTCAATTTATGCCAAAGTGAATAGTAAACTAGGTGATTGAAATTAATAAAAAAGCTAAAAAAATTTGACAAGTGTTAAAAATATTTGCACTCAAAAATGTGTTAGTGATAAAACCTTTGATTAGTTCTATCAAAACATAGAACTGGATCAGGTAGAACACAACAAAACAGAACTCAGTATCAAGTAATTAGTAAAAGTAAAAGAAAGAGATAGCTTTTTAAATATTTTAACAAAACAAAAAAACTCATTTGATAAAATAAAAGAATTATCATATCTTTATAATTTGTGTTTTATGTTTTAAAATACACAGACATTCTCCTGCTTATGTTGATCACTTTTTAGCATATGTGGTGTAGTTAATAGAAAAAGAGCAAAAAAGTTGTTTTTCTTTAATATCTTCTTGTTTTTCTGTTAAAAATTTATGTAAATTAACAACTATTTTTATTTATTACTGTAAAAATAAAACTACTCCGAAAAATTAGGTATTTTTACACTGAATACTCAAAAAAGATGATTATGATAAGAAACATATTAAGTAATCAAAAAAACATATATGTTAATTTGTGTATTAAGTATTATACTCCATACGCAGTATATATATACATATATATATATATATATATATATATATATATATATATATATATATATATATATATATATATATATATATATATGCTCATACACATATTTATGTGTATATATATATATATATATATATACATATTTATATATACATTCATATACATATATATATATATATAAATATAAATTTTACTTACGCTCTTGAAAAAAAACATAAACACCATATTCCTCATGCTCTTGTTCTGAATAAAGTCCCATTTCCTGACAAATATCTTTGACCAAATCATATGCAGTCTAAAAACATTACATAAAGTGTAAAAAAAAAAGCTTTTCTCAAAACACATTTAAAAACCTTTTTAAATGTGTTATGACAAACTATTTGATTCGAAAGTGCACAAAATAATGATTAATGATAATAATAATAATAATATTAACAATGATGGGAAACACAAAATTTATATTTAAAAATCTTACTGTACTAGTTTGCACTTTACACAACTTTTGGATTCCACCAGGAAGTTCAACAATTTGATGTTTTGAATTTTTGCCTTGCTAAAAAAAAATTACATATTGAAACCCTGAAAAAACTTATTTCACTCAAACTGCAAAATCTCAACCAACAAACTTTTCAAAATTTTATTTAAAGTGAATAATGTATAACTAAATAAAAAGTTACCATGAACATAAACAACTCATTTTCACTAGGAAGTTGTTTTCGACCACCATACTTAAAAGATCGAGACAAGTTTAGTTCACAAGCACTAGCAGCAGCTATAACAAGAATTGAAAAATAAATTTAAACAATAAAAATCATTTTAGCCTAAATACACACATACACACAAAACCATATATGTATATGCATATATATCATATATATTCAAGCGATTTTTATTTTTTAATTTACTGTGCCTGTATTTGAAAAGCTTACAAGAAAATTCATTGCTGGAAGCAGAAGCACTGTGAAAAAATTTATTCAAGAAGGGTCTTAGTAGTTCAGAACAATCAAAGTAAGCAGTGCATAACATCAGTAATTTCCAACCACGCCCACAACTTTCGCTAGAAACATAAAAAATCTTGAGGTTAGATTCAGAGAATCGAAAATAGATACATAAAGTTTTTAAAATTAAAAAATTTTTGCTTACCTGTTTTCACTTTTGTTATTAGTTGTCTGCTTGGCAAGCTGACAGTAAATCTCATCTCTCATGTCTAAATTTTCAATTCCATTCTAGACAAATGATTACATTAATTAAAGTAATTATACTGTATTTGCCTTGTTGTATTTTCTGTTTATAAATCATATATTATATGAAACCTAAAAACAATATTTTTTAAGACAAAGTTTAATAAGTAAAAATTAATAATATCAGCAACCCTTGGAATTAGGGTCAGCATTTGGCAATGCTGACCTAACTGCCAACCTGAAAGTATTTGAGGTCAGCAAAAAATTGCCAACCATATTTCTATGTTTTATGGCAGCCTTTTTTTATCAAATTTTTTTGGCGACCTAATGCTGACCTCTAACAGTTTGAGATCCGCAATTAATTTTTAAGTTCGACTCCCACCACATCCCTGGAAGTACCGCGCTCAACTTAATTTCTCCGTGCAGCGGTCTTGCTTGTCAAGGTTCGTATTTCGGAGTTAAAGAGTTGAGAGAGGGTTGTACCACGATTTACAACAATAAATAAAAATAAAAATTTAAAAAAAAAAAATGAATATCCTCCTCGACTGTAGTGGCCCCCTCGGGCCTTGGGAGGTGAATAATTAAAAAAAAAAAAAAAAAAAATTGCCAACCTCATTTTTCATATTTCCGAGGGTTAAATCAGATATTATTAAATATATAGAAAAAAATCTTCATGTTGTTCACTCTTTAAAAAAAGTATTTTATAACTAGCAAGAACTTAATACAAGACGAATTTAGAACAAACTTAAAAAAAGAAATTTAATATTTTATAAAACATACTGCCTTACCCGGAGAACCATAGCTATAAGTTCATTATTTGTTTCTTGACGATCTCTCTTTAAATCACCCATAAACTTCATTATAGCTAAAAGTTAACTACTCAATATAGTATGATAATATATATGTATATATATATATATATATATATATATATATATATATATATATATATATATATATTATATATATATATATTATATATATATATATATATATATATATATATATATATATATATAAGGTTAGATGAGAAAAAACAACTTTTTACGGTACTTAAAGTTTCATGCTGTTTTCGGCACTTATCAGCCATATATTTAAATCAAGAAAAAACCGTTCAAAAATACAATTAAAAAACCATTACAAAATTCAAAAAAAACAATGGAATGAGTTCTGACGTCAAATAATTATAATACAAATAATAGCAATAATAATAATAATAATGATAATAATAACAATAATAATAATAATAATAATAATAATAGCAATAATAGCAATAATAATAATATTATGGAAAAAACATCTATTCTAATCGCCAGTGTCAAATTGAGAAAGGAGGAATCTGTTTCTATGTCTGCACTTAGAAACAATCTCACTTCTTTTATTTAGTAGATTAGTATTTTTATAATTTAGGATTTCATATTTTTCGGTTAGACATAATTTACAAGATTTGGATGTAGGATTATATGCTTTACATCGCCTGAGAATTTTTCACTTAACTATAGGAACTAAATTGGCTTCTTTTATTTTCCATACCTGCTTTGACAGCTCAGTATCATTTTTGTATTTTGGGATGTTAAAAGATTTAACGTGGTTAGCGTATCTCAATTTAAATGAAGTCTCACTTACACTGATGTAGGATTTTTCGTTAGGAGATGAATCACTAGTGGTGGTTACAGTTGCTTGGTATACAATGTTGCTTGTTAAACATCTATTGGACAATGAGCAGAAATTTTTATCTAAGCAGTTACAATTTTCTTGATTAGAGTTTGTATCATTGTATAAAAAGTATTTGTTGTGCGAATTTATGATTGATTTCACACTTGGCATACAACTGTAGCTAACTTTGACTGTGTTCCTGTTAAAGATTTTATGTAGTTTGTTATTATTAGGAAAATGTTTGCCAATTAATTTCAAAAAACATTTTCCCACGTTGGTGCTAACATTTTTGCTAAATGGAGGATTAAACCAAATGATGTTGCGTGCTCTGTTCCATTTTTTAGTTGATATTGCTTTAGGATTATATGTTAGATTACATTTGAAACCAGACTTTAATAAAGCCTCATTATATAGAGGAACAGCATGTTGAAATATTTCTTTGGTAGAAGAATTTGTAGATAATCTAAGTTCAACCGAGTGTGGTATTTATTTTAGTATACTTGGAGGGTGATTTGAATCAGCATGGATATAATTTAATGTATTATCAGGTTTGAGATAAGGTTTAAATGTGCACTCACTAAGATTTAGAGTGACGTCAAGGTAGTTGACGATTTTCATGTTGCATTGTATAGAAATCCGTAAGCCATTGTATTTAAATATTTCGGAAAGATGCTTTTTTATTTTTTCCATTTGAGGGCCGCTTTTATTCCTAAAAACTGCTAATATATCGTCACAGTATAAACCAACCTCAAACTTGTTATAAAATTTTGAAATTTCGAAAAGAAGAAATATTCCTACAAGCTCACAAACCTCCGCACCATCATATATATATATATATATATATATATATATATATATATATATATATATATATATATATATATATATATATATATATATATATATATGCATAAATATATATACACGTGTGTATATGTATATTTATACATATATATATATACATATACATACATATATACATATATAATATTGCATATATAAAAATAATTTCATGTTGTTCACTCATAAAAGTAAAAAGTCTCAAATTGAATATCTATAAGAATATATATTACATTTAAAAAAATGAAAGTTTATTATTATTATATAAAAAATTGTAATCGTTTAAAACAGTTTATGTTCATAAATACAACAAAAATATTATGATGCTTATTAGTTATTATTATGATGGTCGTAAATTAAAAAGCTTTGAAACATAACAGCAGCCAGCCTTAATAGTTTCTTTTGTTACAAAAAATTAATCTTATGAGTAGAATATGGCACAATGAATTACAGTGACAGCCATCTTTGAAGTCTCTCCACATCAGAATTTTTTTTATACATACTTAGTTGTATATATGAAAATAAATATTTAGTTAATAAAAACTTATAGGGGAATGGAAAAATGTATGAAAATCGAAAAATAAAAAGTATATTTTTTAATTAAAAATATCTGCCATTTTCAACAAAATAGCTATAACTTGCTAATCAAATACCGACATTTTTTGATATTGAATCTGTTGTTTTCGAATTCAAAATGTCTTATGCTAATTTAATGGAATATATTAATACTTACTTTAATAATATTTCTTTGAATATACCGTGGAAAGTTCATATTGTAGTTAACCAATTGTATTATTTCTTAAAAGTACCAAAACTGATAATCGACTTAGAATTTACTCTGAACAAGCAGGTGAATCTGTTCATTATGAGTTTGAAAAGATATGAATTAAGTATAAGAGGCAACAAAGCCACCTAGAATATGCTAAATGATTTTAAAAGTCAAGTGTCGTGGAATTTTCAATATTTAATAAAAAGTTAACAAGTTTACAATTCAATTTAATATATTGCTGACTCACAACTATGTCAAAATTGTTGTTTCTAAAGTATTTTAATAGCATGAAAAATTTTATTCAAATATAAAATATTATGCTATTTGTGTATTTTAAAGCTTAGTCTAGATATTTTTTACCTTGAATGCATTAATTGCATTTTGTTGTTGTTGCTTTTATACCTACATTTTTTTCTCATGTCCTGTTATAGAATATGTCCAAACATTTTTGAATGCATTTATGATATGGAAGTACACAAGAACACAGTAAAAATTAGGTTTCTTCATTAAATTATGTGAAATATATGAACTTCAATGAAGTTAACCATGTACTGCCTCTCCCCTTTTTATCTAAATTTGAGATGTGCAAAAATTTTATTTTAGCCAATGGAGGTTCTTGATACCTTTACCTAATTTATATATTATGTTACTTCTTAATAAGAAAAAATTGGATGTGGGGAGACATCAACCCTGGTACTTATTGTGGTTCACTGTGATGGAAGAGGGGGTATATATTATTACCCCTTACATATGTGTGTATGTTTGTATATTTTATATATATATATATATATATATATATATATATATATATATATATATATATATATATATATATATATATATATATGCAATAAAAATATACAAATATAATAAAAATCATCTTTTATAAAAAAATTTATATGAACAAGATAAAAATACCTTTATTAATATCAGCAGCTTGTCGACTAAGTGACTTATTGTTAAAATTTATCAACGAACCAGATAAAGGTTCCTATTTGTGAATTTTGGTTGAAATAAGTAAGACAAACATTAGGCTATTTCTGTCTAATATATAAGAATATTAATTAATTTTTTTTTTAGCAAAAAATGTTAACTATGGATAACAACAGATAAAATTTTTTGATAACAAAATTTTAATTAATATTCAAAAAAATATTTTGATAAAAAAAAATGCTTAAACAAATAGTTTTTAAATATATGAATAAAATAAAAGTATTTTTTTACCCTTCCAAAAACAACTAAACTATTGATATAGTTCCACATTGACTCGTCATCGTTTACTGAAAGGTTTTTGCGAAGTGTTGTAAGTTTTCCAGCTTCTGAAATTCTTTTAAAATAATATACACAATTAATGAAATCAAAAAAATTTAAATTTTGAAATAAGATTTATGTTTCAGAGTTATAGGGAATCAGAAAAATAAAGAAATAGGAAACATCAATTAAATTTTTTGTTTTGTTTTGTTTATTACAGATTCAAACTAAAAGTATATTAAAAAATTAAATCCAACTAGAAACAATAAATGAAGTAGAATATCGTGCAACATACAGTAAAATGACTTATTTGGTAATTATGTGAGACATAAATATAAATATAACAATTATTATAAAAAATAAAATTATAATAATTATTATAACTTAAAGTTATGATTCACTCTCAACAAGGCTACAAGCAACCACTATTAAGTTGGGAGTTACTAGAAAAAAAAGAATAGAGTTAAAGAGCAATGAAACAGCTGACAGAAGACCAGAAGGCTAACAGAAGGTTGTATGAGTCAGGAAAACATTGAAAATTCATTTTTATAACATTTAGTAAATCAACAGTGAAACAAGAGGATTTAAAACAGTATTAAATTTCAGAGAAGAAGTTTTTGTACTCAAGATGAGATACTTGAAATTTTTAAATATAACAAACAGTTTAATAAATTAAACTATTTGTTATATGATCACAGTAAGAGTGCTTGTCATAAGATTAAATAGATAAATTAAAAAAAAAGTCTTTTGAATATAGTTCTACTTTAGCTTTGGGAGAGATAATAAGATCAGACCCAAGTGAGGGAGATCAGACCCATGTATGAGAAAATGTTAATCTTGCCTTTTTTAAAAGATTTTTTTTACAAACCTCTGAAATAAAATACAAAACTGAGTAATCTGTGAGTACTTGATCTTGGTATTAGACAATTTTTGCATTAATTTCTTGCAATAATAAGAAGGTGTTTGTTCTCCAGAGTGTGAACAAAATGAATAAAATGATTACAACAATAGTTGCACAAGAAAAAGAATGGGGTAGAATTAGTGAATAACAATTGTTTATTTATAATAAAAAAGGTTTACATACAATTATAAGATTTTTTTAAACATATTTATTATTTAAACACCAAAAAGTGTAAAAAAAAAATACATTTTAATACATTGTGTTAACACAACCTTTTGAAACAATAACAACATATAAAAATATTTATTTTATTTTTGTTTTATTACTTACTTTAATAATTAAAATAAATTTTAAGGGAAAAAAAAATTAGTTAAAAAAAAACTTACTCTGGCAGGCTGTAATATCTCATTGCAAATTCCATCATAGAATAAGGTTCTGATTCAGATGTAGTGCCGCCTTTTTTATTTGTCAAGTTCTTTTCAGCTGTTACTTTAAAATTTTCACCTTGAACTCTCTAAATATATATTTCTTGTGTATATAACAAACTACAAATATAACCTTACTATTTTATTATTTATTTATTATTATTACAAATATAACCTTACTATTTTATTACTACTATTATCTTCAAAAACTATAGAAAAACAATAGAACATTAGCTCACTTTGCATGGACGATAACAAAATATGCTAAGTAAAAAAAATTTTACTCAACTACAAATACAAATTAGCAACACATTTACATCTTAAAAATAATAACTTGATTATTATACTGTAAATTTAAAATAAAACAAAAAAAAAAGACATATTCACATTAAAGTGCACATAAACATAACACTGTTAAAGGAAATAAAATACTTTATTAAAATAACCATTTTTAAAAAACTTTTTTACTACATTTTAGGATGAACCTATATATGAAAAAAATATTATACATTTGCCAGATAGACTTTATGATTTTAGCCTGATGATCCTATCTTTTTGGCAATATTAAAACACAGGACAATATTGGAAATATATAAACAATACTTTTTTGCATGAGCAACATAAAACAAAAACTCTTTGTCAAATTAGAATCTTGGCAGTATTCAATGTAACTGCAGTTGAATTAAATGCAACAAATTTAAGAAAATTAAAGAAAAATTAAAGATTGTCTACTATTTTAGGGACAATGCAAAACGTAAAAAAATGGTTTAATGATAAGAATCAGTAAGTAAAGCAATGGATGCCAGCAACTATTGCTGAAAAGGTGCAAAAAATTGTTTATTTAAAAATGAAACAGGAAAAGAAATTTGCTTCCAATTAAGTATTAAAAAAAATTAAAATTTTTTTATCTTGAGTGCATTTTAATTTATTGCGGGTAACACAATAAATGTCATCTGAGACTTCATGTGACACTTTAAATAAAAAACATGCAAAACTTGGTGTTTAAGTTTATAAAAATAAAAGGTATTGAGTACTTTTGTTATGGCTTATACTACTTCTATTTGAACTCTCTCTATTCACTACTCATTCTTGCAATGGATAATAATGCAAACCATGTAAAATTTAAACTAAAATATTTGGTAAGAATTACATCTTTGACCTAACAAAGTTATAGCAACTGTAAAAAGAACTGATGGTCTTGGTTCAAAAAAATATAAACAATTATGTCTACAAGACATAATTGTTGAAAAACTATTTAGAAAAACTTGAATATATACACACACAAACAATAAAGATTGGAAAATTAATTACCTCATAATCTTTGACCAGTGTAATTGGAAACTTTCCTCTATAATCACCATTAGTTCCCCAGAGCATACCAACTTCAATATCTTTCTTGTTATAAACTTTAATTATTGTTCCTTTTTTAAACGATAAATGATCTTGGTTTGGCGCAACATAGTCACCAAGAGCTTTGACATATTTTTCTTGCTAAAAAAAAATTAAATTTTAGTTAAATTTTTTCAACTTCAACCTAAATTTTTTAGGTTTACTAAGAATTTTAGATTCATCATAAACATCATTTTTACCAAAAAAAGGTTTAGCTTCAGAACAAAATTTACCTTTTCAGCAGCCTTCATGTAAACATCAATTAACTTTTTAATTGATGCAGCCTATAAATAATTTCAAAAAAAAAAAATTAAAATGAAAAATAAAATATATATAAATAAAAACTTATGTATGGTACAGCAAGGCAAGTTGAGCAATTTTTACTAAATTTAAAAGATCTCATGAACCGTGAGTCAGATTTACATAATTTTTTCACTATTTGAAAGATAATTTAACCTGCTAAAATTTTGTTAAGAAAAAAGTTTTCGATTTTTTTAAAAAGATATTGCCTAACATTTGCAAAGCTGCTCAACCTGCCCCAGTGGGGTAAGTTAAGTAATTGTGTAGGGTAAATTGAGTAATCAATAAATAAATGAATATGCATGGTACAAAACTTGGGTGAATCATCAATAAAACTTTCATTAACAGTAAGCTTGTAATTTATAAACTTTTTATTTTATACACTATAAGAAAAGAGAAAAAATGAAATAGTAAGAAAGCATCATAAAATATTAAAATATCATTTTATACAACTATCTTGAACTTTGAAGCCCAATTTAAAAACTAATTTTAAAAATATATATAAATAATGTACTTTATTTTTTCTTCATCAAATTGTTTCTTTTTGTTGTTAGTTAAGTTTTATTTATTTGTTTCAAAGCTGCTCAACTTACCCCTACTAGAGGTGACACATTAGTTAGGTTTTGAAGAGAAAAGTAACACTTATGAAAAACAGGTAATTTTAATAAAAAGTCCGATAAATTGTTAAAATACAACATATAAGTAATGTCAGATAAAAAAATTTATAAGCATCTAAGAGAAAAATGGAAAAACTTTTTTTTTTACTTTTTTGGTCAAAAATACAAAAAGTGCCAGTGTAGCTTACTTAACTGCTTTCCAACAATATTTTGTTGCGCATTGTATTAACATTCTAATTCTCTAACTTTCATCCGTTAGATGTTTTGTCATGTGATGAGTAGTGTTTGAGATATTTTAATTGCCTAATTTGCCCCTATGCTCAACTAGCTCCACTCTTCCCTAATTTATAATGAATTATTACAATAAAAAAATAATTACCACCTTAATTTTAAAACACTTTTTAGTTTTTAAATATTTCATATTTATTTTTTTATTTTTTTAAATTTTTTTTACTTTATTAATTTTTTTACTTTTCGATAATAAAAGAAATTATAAGAACAAACAAAGGTAAAAATCATAAATTCTTCAAACCCATCAGTATGTATGTGATCAAATATAGTCAAGTCAATTAAACAATATTGAAAAGTTCAATCAAACAAATTTGATATAACTATAATTTATTTTAAACTTATTTTGAAAGTGTTATTTTAAAATAAATTTTGATTATTATTAATTTCGAATGAAATCTGACAATAAAAAATGAAAGTAAATGCTATGGTAAATCCCTGATCTAATTTCAATATCCCCAAAAAATATAATATTACAATTTATAGATTCACAAATAGTTATAAGAAAAAAAATTTGTTTTGAAAAAAAAAAAAAAAAAAACCTTCACAGTATGTAACACAATCTTTCGATCAGGTGTATCCAAGGTAACTTTTTCATTAACTGCTTTTACTTCAATTATATCATTATATCTAAATTCAAATGCATAATTATCATAATCATTTGATTATCAGTTAGAAGCTCAGTTAGTGATTAGAAAAATATTCAAATAAAATGGATGCAAAATTGCAAATAAATAAAAAAACAAAGGTAATATTGATTAGATGATAAGTATAAAGTTAAAACTTAGTAATAAGAAGAAGAATTTAATTATTTAGAATTAATATTTTAAAGTCACTAAGTTTAAGAATTCCACAGTATACAAATTTTATATCATTTTGATAGATTTTTTAAATAAATTAAATTGTTTTAAAAATGCTTAGCTTTAGTTAGTTTAGTTTAAGAATTCCACAGTTTACAAATTTTATATCATTTTGATAGATTTTTTAAATAAATAAATTGTTTTAAAAATGCTTTGCTTTTGGTTGAATACGTTTTTATAAAACAAAAAAAACTGTCATCATAGTTATCATATTTATGTCATAGTTATGTCATATTATGACATAGTTATGTCAAAAGTTATCATAGCATTTTAATAGAGAAAAGAAAAAGCCAGCAAAAACTAAAAATAACCACTTTTATAATTTTATTTTGCATAAGCTCACAATTTTGAAAAGCTTTTTCAAAAATAATTATTCAAAAAGTCTTTTGAAATTATTTTCTTATTAAAAATATCAAATAAAACAATTTTCTGTAAAGTAAAAATAAAAATTTAATCAAAATAAAAGAAATATACTAAGTTTAAAATCATTTTAACAACAAAAAATAATAATAATAAATACTTTATACATAACCATAATGTTTATTAAAAAAGCTTATTGTTATCCAATTTCACTTTCAAGCAGACCAAATGAAAACATCTCATCAACTATTTTATCAAAACTGAATGATTTGTCATTTTCAGCAAAACCTATATTTGTAACCTATACTGTAAACAATTTTTGATATCACACATAAGTACTAACGTTACCGCGATGCGATTATGTAATAAATTTCAATGGCAGTTTTTAGATAAGGATTTAAGAACAATTAGTTACAATTACGCTATTTAGTCAGGTAATTGTGAAGTAAATTTTTGCAATTAGCATTATTCCAAATCCTAATGGATGTAGAATTTACTTGGTAGATGTGGATGTATCAATTTCAAAACATCAGTTATGAAATTGATACATTCACATTTTATTGAACATTTATAAAGTCTAGAACAAAAATTAATTAAAAAAATAAAAAGTTGACCCAAATAGTATGCTTCACTGATAAGAGTTTGAGGCATTTTTATTAATTTGTTTTCTTTTTGTTTTTAAAAAGTCATTAAAAATATATTCATTGAATTTTGACTTGATTTTTTTTGATTTGAGTAAAAGTTATCAAACATTGTTTTAATTCTATCATTTGATAGGGTCTAAGCTTTATAAAAATTTGTTTCAATGTTTATTACAGATTACTCATCGTTTACCATTTTGATGATGTCACAATTTTTTTAATTTTTCTGTTTATTTATGGAATTTCTACTTCATTCTCCAGGTTCTGAAACAATTAAGTTCTGATTCAAAAAACAACTCGTTTTAATAAAATAAATTTGTTTATAGATAATTATGATAATTATGATAACTACAAATACCAAAAATGAGTAGTAAGCATTTAAATTTTAAAAAATTTTCTGTTTTTTGTTGTCATGTAAAATTTTAGAGACTTGATTGCTTTTTGACATAAAAGTTAATTTGGGTTTAATACATTATGGAAAAAAAATTCAACTTGGTGTGCAATTCAAAAAGTTCAATTTTGCATGCAATTTTTAATTAAAGCATTTTTGAGGCCAAACAACATTTCCATTTAACTTTCAGCCTCAAAGTTCATAAAAATCAATATTTATCTCAATTTTTAAATTTTTGTGACTTAATGCAGTTTGGTAAAAAAACACTGCATATATACTTACATGTTTTCAGAATAAATGATTATTTATTTAGACTTTTTTTTATAATTTTTTTTTATACATTGGTTTCAGCATATATTCAGACGAGGCACTTTTGCGCATGATTGTATGAAAGTAAACCAATTGATTTGAACATAGTAGTGATGACCTCAATGACAATGACCCTCCTGGAGGGCCAATTACAGTCAAAACATCACAGAATATCAAGACGGTACAACAACTTATTAAAAAGTATCCACATGTTTCAATACATAAACTTAAAGCCCAAGCATAATTGTTGTGTTAAATCATAAAAAAAAACTTGAAATTGTTAAAAATAATGAAAAAAATATTTTGATTTTCAAAACATGCATCACATTGGGTTTTGTGAATGACCTGCCATCAGCTTACAATAGCTCAAAATAGTAAAGCATGAAGCTAATTGCTGGTAGAATTTGGCTGATTTCAACAAAGACGAACAGCAACTATGAAACTTTTTCATAAGTCAATGTCTTCTGGATCTACTTAATATAAGTTGGACACCAACAAATGATTTTGTCATGAATGAGTGTCAGAAAATCCCTGAAAACGATTGTCCGGTGAGACTTTTGAGCAAAAATGTTTATCACACTTAAATAAACAGTCTTTTTTTTTATTCATTGTCTGGATAAAAGAAGGCAAGCATAAGTGCTTAACATTAAAGAAGTAACTTTTTCTTTAAAAAGATTAAATCTGTCATTTTCTTCAATTCTTTCATAAAATTTAACTTTAGCCATTTGCTAACATTACCAAACTTGTATTTCTAGAAAAGATTTTAAATTTCTAAGAATAATAAAAAATATCCAGAATTCCTGATTCCAGAAAAAGATCTCATTTACTTTAGCAGATTTAGATGTGAAATAATACATTTTGCACACTTTGAATTTTAAAATGCTGAAAAATCCATACAGTTTTCCTGAAATTAAAAAAAAAAAAAATTTTTCTGCCATAATTTTATTTCTCATATCTAGAATGTTTCCCATCCCAAACTTAAAAACCCACAGTTAAGGGTTTGAGTTTGTCCTTTATATAATTTGAGTTTGGGTTTGAGTTTGTCCTTTATATCATTTTTAAATCTAATAATGCATTACTAATGTTACTGAAAAAAAATTACTTTAGATGACTTGTTGTTGTTAACTCATCTTCAACAGACTCTCTTGTCACAAATCTTACGCCTGAATGTGAAACAGCAAGAAAAGTACTAAAACTTCTTTCAGCATAGCCCTAGAATAATAAAAGATTTTCATTATAAAAAATACTCAGTTTTTGAAAAACAAAAAAAACTCTTTCTTAACAATTTTTATATATTTTTGGTAAAAAATGTTTATGGTATAAGACTTATAAATAAGAACTTTAAATTATTTTTTTGAACGTAAGTTTAATTTTTAAAAAAAGTAAGTAAATTTTTGGAAAAGCTTTAAAAATGTGTTAAAAATACAGACAATTTATCAGAATACATCTGAAAAAAATGCATACGTTTACTCTGTACAATCGGGAGAAATATAATGGCAGCTCTTTTGCAGCAAAGATCACTGACTCTTGAGTCATTGTTTTTGCTAATAAGAAGGAAAATTATTATTTTATTAGAAGGACGCAACTTCACATGATAAAGCTATTCTTTTTTCAAAAAATTTTTTGCAAACTTTTTTAAAAAACTATTTAACAAATTTTAGATTTTATTTTCATTTAAATTAAGTTTAATAATAACTTTCTTTAGTTTTATAACTTTTCTTTTTTTTTTTCAATCATGCATAGTGAAATAAATTAGCTTTACCATGCAAAGAGGTATAAATTAACATAATTAACTTACATTAACCCTATACAATCTTGAAAAGTATAATGGAAGATCTTTTGTAAAGTCTATGATCTGCATAAGAACCCTGTCAGGTGGTACTAGTGCATTTAGGTGGCGTACAAGATTTTTATTTCCTGGAAGGTGTATATGCATAATGTATAATGAAAATTACTTACATATATATATATATATATATATATATATATATATATATATATATATATATATATATATATATATATATATATATATATATATATATATATATATATATATATATATATATATATATATATATATATTAAAAAAATACAAGTTATTAGAATTTAAAAAAGCAATATAAAAATGTTTTTTTAAAAAAAGTTATTATTCATTTAAAAAAAAAATTAATTAAAAAAAATTAAAACACTATTAATAATATCAAAATATATAAACATTGAAATAAAAAAATTGAAAATATATAGTTATAATAAGTTAATTATGAGAAATTTTGATAATTTAAGAAATGTTAAATTCAAAATTAAAAAAAATAATAGTAAATAATAAAATAAAAAAACAGTAAAAAGTATAATATTTGAATAGAAATTTATGAATGCAATAACTACCTAGTAATCTTTGCATTTTGTAGCGATCTTCTAATGAAAGCCTAGCACATGTCCTACTGCCCAAATCATCCAATATCTAAAGAAATGATAAAAACAAGTAATCAAAAAACTATAAAAACATCCACAAAAAAAAAGAAAAAGAAATTTCTTATTAAAATATAGACTTTCCTCATTTGAAGTCTTTTTTTTTAAATACAAAACTTGTTGTATTTTGAAGTTGTATATTTGTTATATTTTGAAGCTGTATATTTGTTTATTTGTTATTAAAAATTATATTTAAGCCTTGTTAAATATTCTAAACAAATAAACCCATGTACAAATTTATTTTGAAACCCATTGACACCATGTTTTTTCTGTTATTAGGAATATTTTACTTTACTATAGTATTTAGAGTGGTGCAGAATCTTTCAATCTTAAAATACATAGAATTTTTAGTTTTAAATGATTAATTTGGTATTTTTGTGGTACTTTTGTATATACAAAATACCATAGAAATACAACAATCCTTATTTAAAATGTCTGCAAAGTTTCATGACAAAGAATTTATAATAAACCCATGGTGTCCAAATCTTACTTTTACCTATTCTAAATGTGTGTGTGTGTGTTTTAATGAGAAAATTCTAAACCTTGCAAATTATACTAAAATAGTGATTAAAAGCCATAAAATTTATTTTATACACCATTACGTAATGGAACAACAACATAATACTCAAAGAGAACTAGAAAAAATATTTCTTAACAAAAAGATTCATTATTCTTTGAAAAATAAAAAACAAAAAAACTTAGTTGCCTTATTTATCTCTGCTTTTAATTGTCAACAAAAGTTTTTTAAATGACGCAAGTTAGCTTTTACAAATTTTAGGTCATTAAAAAAACGCAATTTGTGTCAAAAAACTGCACAAAAAAAATGTCATTATATTGCAATTTTTAAAAATTATCACAGATTTACTCTTGCGATTTCTTTAATAGTTAAATTTTCATCACGTCAACAAGATTCCATTAAGAGATTATCAATGTGAGACATGTAAAAGTGGTTTGATCATGTATGCATGATTATATGTTTATGCATGCAGCATAAATATATAAATGGAGAAAAGCTAAATGCATGAATGAAGAATGAAAATCTCTGTGAATTTCATTATATCACTGCAAAGATGGTATTTCAACTGTTTATTTCAAAAGAGGAAATTTCAAGGTGCAGCAGAATTTGAAATTTCAGAATTTGAAATTTCAAATTCTATTCATTAAAAATATGAATATGAAGATGTTGGACATCAGTCTTTGTAAGAAAGCAAATCAATAAAAAATCAGAATGAAACTTAGAATTATCTGATTTAACTTATATTTATCGTTCTGAAAATCTGATAAATTCAGTCATAAAATATTTTTAATGACCAGTTTTAACAACTTTTCTTTTGTGACATTCAAATCCTCTTCAAAGAAGAACAACATATTTATTCAGCAAATTAAAAAAAAATTACTTTGCAAAATTTTAACCGTATAAAAATAAAATGCAGCAGGACTTCTAAAACCTCGCAACCTCGGACTTCTAAAACCTCGCTAGTGCGTTTAAATTGCTGATGCAAAAATAAAGCAAAAGTTATATAAAAAATAGAGAAATATAAAATATGAAAAAAAGTTGATTTGTGTTCAGATTATTTAAATCAATTTCAATAATTTAAATAATCATTGAAATTGATTTAAATAATCTGAATACAGATTATTTAAATCAATTTCATAATGTTTAATTACACATCTGTACTTAATGTTCAATCATTTTTTAAACCATAACTATGTGAAGTAAATCTATTTCAAAGAAAATATTTTAATTAATAAAATAAAATTACTTCAATAGAAAATGATGGGGTTTGTAAACAAACTTGCTTCAATAGAACATGGTGGGGTGTGTAACCGACTTGCTTCAATAGAAAATGATGGGGTGTGTAAACAAACTTGCTTTAATAGAAATATGAAAAGGTGTTTAAAACAAACTTA